TATTAAAGCCTTTAGGAAGCTTTTATTGCATTATTTTGCTTCTAATGTGATCGCATAACACTTTCTAAGCCTCAGAAATACTCAAAGTTCGCTAATTTTCGAGAAAATCGCATTTCTTTATTTTTGTAGTTCCAACTTCCACCGCTAGATGGACGCCAATTTTTTAGTCCATGTTTTGACCTATTTTTCTATTTTCTTTTTTAGCGCTCTGAGGAGGTTCTTGTAGCATTATATAGGTTCTAGAGACTTCACAGAACAATTTCTGACCCTCAGAAATACGTAAAATTGCCTAATTTCGGAGAAAATCGAAATTATAGTTTTTCGTAGTTCCGCCGCTCGCCGCTAGATGGCGCCACCTGTACCGTTTTGAACCAAATTCGACAAAAATTGATTTTCTGGCTTTATTAGGCATCAAAACGCATCAAACCCTAATAGAAATTTGTTTCTAAATGTCTCAGGAACCATATTACGTCGCCAAAGTGCCGAAGTATTCATTTTTTTATTTTCCTTATATGCGTGTTCGGACCCTCATTTTTTAGGTTTATTTCACCTGTTTTGCCGTGGATGGGCGCCAATTTTTTAGTCTATAAACTGCAGTATATGTATATGCAATACTTTGTAGTTTTATATCTTTTGTTATTCTGTCAATAGAATATTATATTTATATTTAATAATGACAACACATATAGGTCCGTTTTGGATCTGAAGTGTATTCTAATAAAAAAAAAAAAAACTGGACTATTTTTAACGGTTTGCTACTGCGCATGAGGTCAAAGTTCAAAATTGACCGCTAATTTCCAGGAGTGTATTTCAGCCCAAAGCGAAATTTTTTCACCCCTTAAACCTGGACGACTCAAGTTGGTCTCGATATGTCCAGGAATATGTTTGGAACGAAAATATATGTATAAAACTGTATATTTATCCGGAAATAGTGTTTTTAAAATGTATGTGTTGAATATCAAACGGTGGGTGTTTTGCAATATCCCCAATAACGAAAATTCCGAGTGCGAGCAAATTCAATTTTTACATTGAAGTCTATGAGGATCAGTTTTTTCGGTGATTATTTCTCCGTGGCAAGTCCGATTTAAAATTTCTTTTTCTATGTCCATCTGGATGTACATACGCATGTGCGTGCAAAATTTGATGAGAATTTGTTGAGTGGTGCAAAAGAAAAACGCGGACAAAGAAGTTGCAAAGTCAAGTATAAGAGCTTCGCTCGCCTTCGGCACGCTCGCTCAATAAAAAACTGAAAAATAACAAGACGAATAAAAAAAATTGTTTTTCTATTTTGTATATTTTAATTTCTTTCATACTTTGTTTAGTAAACACCTTTCCGGTTTTTAATGTTAATATAAGTTCACATTATCATTGTTGTTAAATGCAGCTCTTGAATTACAGATTTCTAGATTTGGAAGAGAGAACACTGATATGTTTTTTATATCATTATCTTCTAAATGGACACTATATAAATGATTTTTAAAATTAATAATTTGTACATATATATTTAAGTAGTTAAAGATCTTAAACATTATGTAAAACATCATCGCATTTATAATAGATTGTACTAGATCGAATTATTGGTTTCATAATTTCATAACATACACACTCTAACATAATTATAATAATTTTAGTCTAATGAAATGATACCAATTTACAATTTAAAATTTCATTAAAATAACTAATAATTTGATATGATACAATCTAATAACAAAAAAGGAGAACATGTATTGTTTTAAACAAATATATATTGAAAAGTAGAGCAAAGAAAGAAAATATGTGCAGATATTTTTATAAACAAACTTTATATTATAGGTTACTTACAAAAGATGATGTTATAAGCATGTGTATATTAATTTGCAATAATTCGAACTTTAATATAAAAAAAGGTTTAATTTTTTATATGCCTTTCACCTTTTATGCAATATCTTGTTTATGTTAAATTTTTTGCATATAAGTAATAGAATTTTTCTAATGCTACCATTCTTTTAATTACATTGCTTTCATTGTTTAAATACAACCTGTGCTAAAGATATCTAGTTTCGTAGTTCTTTCCAATGTAATCATTTTCGTATTTTTTTTGTATTATAAATAAATTAAAATATCAATATATCATGAAAGTCAATATCAAAATAATATTGTTTCAGTTACTCTTAAAATTTTATTTGTTATGTAACAAAGATTGAACAATAGAAATACAATAAAGAAATTGTATTGTTATAATATATTTGGTTAATAAAATTAGTTATTCGTAAATTACTTAATACTTAACATTCTGAAACTTGTATTATTAAAAATCATTAACTGAGCAAGTCCATTACATCGCAAGAAGGTGACTTTTCTATTTTTTGACTTGAATTAGAATTTAAATTTGACTGAAATTCTAGCTGATTAATTGCGAATTTTTCTTGATTCACTGAATAATTAATATTATTTTGTGGAATCATTACGTTATTAATACAAGTATTTCCTTTGTTATTTAAATATAAATTTTGTCCTTGTGGATTCATCTGTTGACTAGAACTTGGTGGTTTCCAAGAATAATTAGATCTTGAATTTGACATAGATAAATTTAACTGATCTAAATTAGATTTCAGCAGAGTATCAGTTAAATCTTTCACTACAGGCTTTTTAGGTTGAATACTTGTTGGTATTAACGGTGCCTGTGATTGCAATCTTTGATGTACTTCTTGTTGCTGAATTAATCTAAAATTTGAAAAATTAAAAAAGTTACACCATATGACTATAGATGCATTTATATAAATTGATAAATTATATTTTGTAAACTCTGCAGTCGAATCTAAATGATGATTTATAATACTAACCGAAGTTTATCTTCCATCGTCAATCCATTTTCAATTTGTATCGATTTCAAATTCATATTTGCACTTGTATTTGGAGGCGGAATTGTCGGAATTGTATTTACGTTATCAGTAGGCGAAGCAATTTTTTTATATGCATTGCTACTTTCTGAAAGCTCTAAATTAAATTGTTGAGTTTCACATCGCATTGCATCCAATTGTTTCAAAGCTTCTTTATGCTCTGATGTTACCCGATTGATCATTTCCATTACCAGGTTTGTAAGAACTTCGTACTGTGATAAACTAAATTTTTGTTCAATACACAAAGGTAATAAAAACGGTAAAACTTTTGTAGCTATTATTTCTTTACTCATTCCCACTTTGCTATGATTTAGTAACATTCTATAAATACCTGAAAAAAATACAAGCTAATATATAATATTCATACTTTAATTTATTGCCTTTTTATTATAGAAATATGTTACTGCAATACCTATAATGGCCATGAGAACTGCAGGTTCACTAGATTGTGGAATTTCTTGTAAAAATGGCAACACTTGATCAATGACAAGCCATCGATCAAAATTAGGTAACATTTTTGCGAGGCATAATAAACAATTGACTCTAACTCCAAGACTTTTATTACTGGATCCTTTTTCAGATAAACAAATTCTTTTCATTCGAGGCAAAATTGCATTTTTAATTACTGGTCCTTCGATCAATGTTGTAATATTAGGTAGAGCTGATAAACATAATTCTTGCAATTGTTCCCATTCAGATTCTAAAGCATGTAGTAACATTGGAACTATATCTGTTTTTATCACTTCTGCAGTACATAATTTTAATAATAAATCAACGTGTTGCATTAAAACAAGACTAATTTGTGGTGGTTCACTCAATGTCAAAATATGTTTAATATTTGGTAAAATATATTCTCTAAATTCTTCTATAGTGCTTGTGTCCATTGCATATATAATACTTGGCAAAACAAAAGGAATCATTGGAGGGTTAATTAACTCTTTATATAAAGCCGGAAGAACTCTATGCAGTACAACTCTGTGTGGTAGTTGCTTCAAAAGTTGTGGTAATCCCTTATAAAACTGTGATTTTTGTAAATTGTCCCATTGAAAAATTTTATCTAAATAGTTTAGTGTTTTAACACCAATATCCATAAAATATTCTATTTTTACAAATTGATGGGCATCTGGCCTTAATTCAGGATTATGATTCAACATCAGTTTAACTGTATCTCTAAGGTTATCTGGAACTGGCAGAAGCTTAGAGGCAATAGTTGAATTTGTGAAACGTTCCAAGAATTGTTTACATTTCAACAAATCATTTTTACAGTCATAAAGAGGTACATTCATCGGAGAATGTAAAATATATGCTAACATTCCTAAAGAAAAAATATCACTTGCTGTACCAACGCTACTTGCTAAAATGCACTCTGGAGCTTGATAATTCAAGTTAGGTTGGGCCACAAAGGAAATCGACATATCATATTCCATATATGACCACTGTGGTTGTTTGCCTTCTACACTTTGATTCAAAGCACAAAAATCAAATCCAAAAATTTTCCATGCTCCTTGACTATTAACAACGATAGATTCTGGACATAAGTTTCTGTGCAGTAGTTTAACATCCCCATGTAAAAATGCCAAGCCCTCACCAAGTTGTAGAAGTCCATATTTAACTTCTACATCATGTAATTTATAATCTTTCAAATTATTTGGTAATGGCTGAGGTAAATTATCATGATTCCCTAGAACATTGGCCAAACTAGCTAAGACAGGTTCAGTTGCAAATGCTAAACTGTCTCTTGATTCTTCCAAAGGATGCTGCACTGTTAAAATTTGTGGATGGCGCAATTTTGTTAACTGCGCAACTCCTCTTTTCAGAGTTTCCAAGATTAATTCCTTGTCGTTTTTTGAAAATTTGTCGAGAACACGTTTCTCAAATACGAAAATTGCTGCTTCTTGTTTTGTAGATTTTTTATAACCACTATAAACTCTCCAGAGCAATGCTGGCCCTGCACTTGCAATATGCGCATTTATTTCAAACTCTCTAGTAACCGGGTTCCCCGGGAGAACATTTGACAATTGTGATAAACCATAAGCAGTGTTTTGTACAGTGTTAGAAATCGTATTACTAACAGTATTTCTTAACTTTGCAAATACATCCATTTTATTGTCCAATATCTTTGAAGTAATCATTAATGCTCAATAGAATTTGTTTTGTTTTAATTTTCACGTTTGTAGTGTCTGCGTATCAATTTCTTGGTTAACAGTTGTGTAAGTATCGACTATTCATTAAATCATGGTTGTTTGCTTCAAATATTAATACACATTGATTTAACACTGAACGTTTATAGCAATACATATTTTGCATTTTGCGAAAACACAATTGTTTCAAGCATTTAAGTCTTGTGAAATGTTTTTATTATCTATTTAATACTTATATTAAAACTGATGATATTATATTAAATATTAAATATTAAATATTAAATATAACTGTTTGACATAATCATTGAACTTTATATATTACATTGGTTAGTTGTGATTCAGTAGCCTTCTGTCAATGGTCTTGATGCTTACCAACCTAGCAATGTTAATTTTTAACGTTTACCAACTGTGAATTATGCTACAAGATTTTATTTGAAAATGTTGTTACAGATTTTTGGAAATAAAACTGTACAAACTTGAAATTTTCAGATTTTCTAATTTTCCAGTTTTCCAGTTTTCCAATTTCCAAATTGCTAAGTTCCTAAGTTCTCAATTTTTCTAAATTTGTATACTTCCAAATTTTTTCATTTTTAAATTGCAAAAATTTCCAAATTCTCAAATTTTCAACTCACAAAACTTCTAAATTTCCAAAACTACAATAGTTCTAAGTTGGATACATTTATGTATTTATTTATTTGTTTTCTTCTAACGAAGAAGGCGTCTAGGGTAGAGTTCAACTAAACCTTTGGCGTTTCCACCGTACAAGCGCTGACCCCAACCCGACTCTAACCCGACTCTGACCCGATTTGAACCCTCGATGGAAACGTAGTCTAGGAGAGATTTCGTCCTAACTTGCCATAAGTTGGATACAGAAACTGCAGATTTAACAAGACTCTATCGTGATACTTTCTTATATAACATAACACATGGACGTTGTCATAATTACTGCGTACATTTCAGTAAAAAAACCTCTGAAGTGGATATTCTAGTAAAAGAAGAAACAATTACATATAAAATTATTATTCTCGAATACTAATTTCATGATAATAAAGGGTTTAAAAAGAAAAATGAAAAATACAAATTGCAAAGTGATCAATGAATTTTTTCTATCTTTCCAAGAACTGGAATTAGAATTTATAAAATTACAAAACGATTTATTCACTTGACATGCTGTGGAAAGATTGCAAAAGCCAATTAATAAATTTACAACAAGAAAATTTATCATGTCAAAAAAGTAAGTTATATGATAAAAACAGATATTTTTCATTGTTTATTTGTGATAATATTAATTTATACATTTGGTTTAATTAACATAGGAAATAACACAAGTAATGAAAGAAGAATAGAGTACCAGTGATATAGCATTAATGTAAAATAAAACTCGTTAAAGTAGAACAAGGTTTTCTTATCCAAGAAAGATATAGGAAAAATTAATCCATGACATGATCTATGTGATCATGTGGATCTATGTGACATGGGGACAGATATAATAGCAGGGGCTATAGATAAATGTAATAGAAGGGTCTCATCATATAATCATTTATTAAGTTTGTAAGTGAAACTTCAATATTTTTCAAAAAATAGACGCTTAAAGTAATTAGTTATGCAAAAATTAGTTACATGCAGTTTCTATTATTAATAAGTTAAAAAAAAATAGATAATATGATAGAGTAATTAAAAAATCAAATATAAAATATTCAAAGTAAAATAATTAACCACCAAGAATTTCTAGAACATATAAAAGAATCTGTTTCTAATATAAAATTATATTATCAATAGTATTATATTATTAATACGATTTTCAAAAATTTAATTGTTTGCATTATTTTCCAGAATTTACATAATTTGATTCTTAAAGACAGAAAAACAAAATATTTACATGGTATTAAAATTGGTACTAATAAAATGACTTATTATTATGGATGTATAATAAAAGAAAATCTGTGAAAAAAAAATAGTTATTAAGATATTTAAAATATATGTTACACAAAACTAATCATAACTTTCCACCGATAAAAGATAGTATAGAATTAATATTATTATCTTTATAAATTCCATATGAAATCTGTGAACATATAAGATAAGATATATGTATAATGTCTGTGTTATCTTATAATTCATATTCTCGAAATTATGTAAATGAATGACACCAAATAACTTGATTAAAATATATCTAAAAGTGTACTTTACGTGATTCATTTTACCATATTCAGTGTTCCTTTAAACAACAGTTTCCACACATTGCAGCAAATAAAAAACAAGGACCAAAAGTGTATTATAGATAACTGTGAGTAATATATTTGTGTTACAAATGTATGTGGTAATAAATAATCACACGGCTTAAATTGGGATTAATTGCTCTAATCATATCACTAATCTGAAAAAAGATATCTTCCAAATATTCGTTATCTTTAGGTATTCCGGGATAATAGATATTTTAAAGTACAATTGGACATCAATAACGAAACAGCTCTTCAATATTTCAAGTGTGTAATAACAGTAATCAGTCTCCTGTTTAACTAGTAAGGTAAGTAGCAAAACATATTGATACAATTTCGTGATAAAATATTATTAAATAATAGATTGAATCAAGTACTTTATTAATTGTCTATACTTGTTCTTATGATATAAATGATATAATATAAATTAATAAACAAATTTCTCGTAAAACAAGACAAAAATAATTTTAAATAAAACGTATTTATGGACAAATACATTTACTTTGTAAAGATGATTTCTTTATAAATGACGATTTAATTCTAGGTACTTATTCAAGTAAATTTTAATAATAAAGATGGATAAGAAGGACATAGGAGTTTTACAACAGACATTAGTTCCTAATATTCAAAATGAAGAGGTACCTGCGAAAAAGTTGCTTCAATATATAGCCAGTTTATCATCAACTATTGGAGCTATAGCAGTTGGCATGGTATTGTCATGGACTAATTCTGCTGGCACCGATGGAGCATCAATACAAGCTCTATATGGGATAGAAATTTCTCCATCTGAATTTTCATGGATTAGTTCATTAAGTACACTTGGATCAGGAATAATGTGTATTTTTATAGGATTTCTTACTGATTTTATGGGAAGGAAATATGCAATGCTTCTGATGGTGGTACCTTTTACTGTAGGTTGGCTGCTTATAATTTTTGCCAACTCTGTAATTATGCTTTGTATTGGTAGATTCATTTCTGGTCTTAGTGCTGGAGCTTTTTGCATAGCTGCACCTATGTACTCAGCAGAAATTGCTGAAGTTAAGATTCGTGGTCGTTTAGGGTCTTATTTTCAAATGTGTCTAGGTGTAGGCACTTTATTTACTTATATTTTCGGAACTTTTGTGAATATACGTGTACTATCTATTATATCTGCTATTGTACCGTTTATATTTTTTGGAATTTTCATGTTCATGCCAGAGTCACCTATCTATTATTTGAAAAAAGGTAATGACGATGCTGCGCGAAAAAGTTTAACTAAACTACGTGGCAAGCAATACAATGTAGAGAATGAATTACAACATCACAGAGAGGCATTAGAAGAAAATGCTAGAACAAAAGCTCCATTTCTCGTCGTACTTAAATCTAAAGCTACTTTGAAAGGTTTCATAATAACTTATGGCCTCATGTTGTTTCAACAATTAAGTGGAATAAATGTTATTGTCTTTTATATTAATAGCATTTTTTCACAAACTCAGAGTGTTATAAATGCCAATAATTCTACAATTATTTTAGGCGTAATACAATTAACAGCTGTTTTTGTAAGCACAATGGTTGTAGATCGTTTAGGTAGAAAAATATTATTACTATTATCCTCAATACTGATGTGTCTAACAATGGCTGCTCTTGGAGTGTATTTTTATCTTTCAGAAAATGGAGAGAATGTTGATGCAATTAGTTGGTTACCTTTAGTATCTGTATGCATCTATTGTACTTCGTTTAGTCTTGGTTTTGGTCCTGTTCCATGGATGATGCTAGGTGAAATATTTGCACCAGAAGTAAAAGCTATGGCTTCAAGTAGTGTTGGTTTTTTAAGCTGGATATTAGCTTTCATTGTAATTAAATTTTACAATAATATTAAAACAGAAATTAATACTGGTCCCACATTTTGGATGTTCTCTGCAATGTGTATTCTTGCAGCTTTATTTGTGTATTTCATAGTTCCTGAAACAAAAGGTAAATCCTTGGTAGCCATTCAAAGGGAACTGAATAAATGATGATTACTATTACTTTACATTTTGTCTGTGAAACTTAAAATGAATACATATACATTCCAATAATGCTAGAACTTTACAAAACTAGATTATATTAATGTATATAAATAAAACTGCTAGAAACTTTTAATCTGTAAATGTGAAAATGAAGGAATCGATAAGTAAGGAAACTGTACTCCACTCAATTTGAAGCTAAATGAGGAAACTGCTCTCTATCAAGAACGAAAATATACTTTGTACAGTGTTGTTACAATATAAATTGTATACAAAATAATCGTAGTGTCCTCGGTTTGCGGATAATTTTAAAAATGCGCTCGATACTTTGTAAATGTAATATGAAATTGTAATATAAGAAACGATTATAACAAATTCAATAGTACATATAATATTAAATACAAACAAACCGTTTTACAAAAGGATTTTATTTCAATAAAAATGTTACAAATTTATGTTGCATATATAAATTATTTATCCAATCTTTGTTGTAAATACGATAATTACTAATATAATATGTTACGAAAATCTTGTATATTATCAAATACATCTAACTAGCAAATTTCATAATTAACAAAATTATTGTACACATTTTTTATCTTCTACAATTACAACTTTTCTTGTGCCTTTTCAATATATCGCAAATTTTCAGAACCATCTTCTTTTTTCAAATAAATTTTTTAGTAAAAAATGTTTGTTTATCACTATTTTTTTTATTAGTAAAGATGACCAGTTTGTTACAGTGAAATTTTCTGGACATTGTACTTACATACACTACCGTCCATAAGTATCCGGACACTTGGTTTCGTTACATAAAACATAGTGGAACTTTGTACGAAAGGTATTTAGGGTTATCATATCATTTGTAATAGTTATTATCATCTTTTTTGATGTGTCATAACGTAATAGATTTAATTTTTAAGTACAAATTATACAATGAAAGTGTGAAAGTAAAATTCATGTCCAGAAGTACAAAGTCTAAATTTGTGAAACTAATGAAACGCTTTCGATTCTAAAAAAAATTTTAATTTCTATTGTGTTTCATTTCTATGGCGCAGAATATGTTTAGAGGGTTCTTCGATATGTTTCAAGTGTTTGTAAACTGTTGGTAGATGTTTAGGTCCCCTCAATGGAGATAAGAATGGAGATAACGCTACGCACTCGACAGTTTCGGTTTAGTTCATCTGTAGCTTCTTTTCCATCGAGATATGAGTTCCAAACGAGAATTATCAATGGAAAAATGTTCCAGTATTCTGATCTTCGCAGAAAAAAAATCGATTTTAGTTACTGTTGCAGATACTTGAATAACTTTCATGCAACGCGAATGCATATTTCGCTTGTGTCCGGATACTTATGGACGATAGTGTATGTAGTTCAATTAGAACGAGATATACTTTCGAACGTACGTATTGTACACATTGAAGTTAGCAGTTGCGATTCGACCATTTTCGTTTTCATGGAAAGGAAGTATATAATTATGTTGTCTTTTCAATCCATTTGGAGCCACCATGTGAAACTCCATGTTTTGAACTAGTTTGACTTCTTATTACGTCATATTCTAAGACGTAATTACGTCATATGTGAAGACAAAGTAATTGCGTCCTGCTGCAGTTAATATGCTTCATATTATTGTACGAAGATATTTCCACTATAATAACTTTTTATGGGGTAGGTTAACACGTCTTATCTGCGATATGTTTTTACAGTTCATTGATTCACACCAATTATTTTTAATCGAATCCTTTCCTGTTATTTCTGTACAAATGATACGAAATTATGTTAAACAACCAAATATAGTAAAACATTTATAATGAAGTTTGTACCGTAATAAAAGAAGATTTATTGTAATTGATAATGTAAAGCAATGAAATGTATAAAATATGTAAAACGTAAGAATATTAAAAACTATAGTAAAATATTCATATGCCACAACGCAGTATCAACTTGTGCCGCGAAGGAATAGGTGGACACAATTTAATTTCATCAAATAAACATTCTTTATTTCATTTTCCACTTTTCACGCTTTCACGTACAATATACAGAGTGTCCCAATTTTTCACCGTTAAAATTTATTAACATATTTTATTCATAAAAATAAAAAAAGTACAGGGTTTTAAACACTTTATTAAAAAGTTATAACAAAAATACGAAATGATAACGGACTGCTGCGTCCGATATCATATACAGGCTGTTTCAGTTTTCAGAATACAATTATTTTCTGTTAAGTTCATTAGAAAAATTAATATAAAATTGCGAAATATTTTGAAAAGGCAGAGCAGAAAATTGTCACAAAATAAATGTTCTCAATAATTTTATTAGTTACTCTTCAATTTGGCAAAATACAATGGTACACAATTGTTGCAAATATGTTTGGCATATTTAATGAAGGCCTACACAGTCGTTAGCGAAGAAAAGAAGAAGCTTAACAAATATCTAAGAAACTTTATTTAAAAAATAAATGCTTCTAATTTTCTGTGTAAAAAAGACAAGAAATGGATTCAGGTTAGTACGAGTTTCGATTACGGTAGTGTTAATCGTGAAAAGCTGTAAAATCCACTAGTCATTTAATTAAAGAGCAGTCGCAATTACGCTTCACTCGTTAAGCGTAAGTGTCCCAATGTTCGGCTAACAAAAGTGCGCGTAGTTGCACGCTCTTGACGCGAAAAAATAATGACCCTTTAGTTGAAAGAAATAAGACAAAAAAAAACAGCACTCCCATGCAAGAGCAGACTTCAGGTCGATATAATCCCTCCATTGATTAAAGTCGATGTTCTGTTAGAATTCTCTCCCCAAAGGACGACCTTCGTAGTGGGGTGAACCGACGAATAAGGGAGAGAACGCTGGCCGTCGACACTAGTTTAGTTGCCTTATGAACCGCATACGAATCGTGCGTCGTGGACCTTTATTTTTTTTCGCAAAAATTACTCCTAGTTTTTACGAACGCTTTACGTTCCGCGAACGATCTATCGATACCGTCACTGATATTCTACGACATTGCCGAAGACGCGAAATGCAAACATTTGCATACTGTGATAAATAGTTTGGTAGTATCCTGAATTTTTTATTAGTTCGAACGTCCTTGAAACATGTTTCTTGTATTGTACGTGGAATTTAAATACACATAAAGGAATTATTTTTTTACGAGTGGGATTTTGTTGGCGTAAGGCACAATTGAAGGGAGTTAAAATTCGAAAATTAATTTTTAAATTAGTTTTACTTGCACTTAATAAATTAATAAAAATTAATTATTCACAATTAACGAATTAATGGTAATATTATTATTTTTATTTTAATATTTCTACATTTTTTAGAGAGTTTTGAATTTTAGTAAATTTTTTAGAACATGTTCTCTCATTTTGTTACTTTATTTATTTTAAAAGAAAAGTCTTGACGGAAGGCCTATAAATACATAAATAATTTATAAATAAACAAATTTATATTATTTTCACTAAAATAAAATAGCCTCACATAACGATTTTAAAATTTAAACTTACAAATTATATTTTCTTAAATAAATATTTAAAATTGTGAATTAATTTCCAGTCAAAGAATAATTTTTAAATTTTATTTAAAAGATTTATGTTGTTTTCGATTTTATGTTGTACAGACGTAGACGCGAGAATAGAAATTTTCAAGGGGTGAAGCTATGGTTTATAAAGAAATAAAGGAAACTAGAAGTCTACATGGTACTTTTTCGCGACGAAACGTAATGGTATGGTGTTTTCTTTGCAGCTGAGAGGCGCGATTAATATCGATGAAACGTAAAATAGTTTTAAATTACGAAGATGGGCAAATCTTTGAAAAAAGTGGAAGCGAAAGTTTGAAGTGCAAGTCCGGTATCGATTCCCGTAAATTGCGGAGGTGCATCCCCTAATAGCAATTTTATGACTCTTATTCGCTCAAATCGAGAAGCATTCCTGACAGAGAGAGAATGTTTGCATCGGGATAAACAAGAAAATTGTAAGTTCGACAATGTTCCTAACTGCGATATGATTTTCATGATAAATAAAAATAAGGTAAACTGTACAGTAATTGGGCACCTTATACTAGAAAAATATTCCAAAATGTCAGATTTATTCAGCGAATTTACATACCTTATTTTATTAAAGACCATTTCCGTAGTTCACACTGCTTAGAAGACTGTGTACACTCGGATATATATGGTGTAAAAAAAATCCTCTCAAAGTTCGAGTTAAAAAATTTAAATTTAAGAGGTCACATAAAGCAATTAAAAATTTTACAAAATAAAATTAAAAATGAAATCTTTTAACCGTTTTATTATTTATTTCAAACTATTTATTTATCAATAGTTATATTTTATATTAACCAATGTATTCTACAGAATTTATAATTTACATATACTTTTATGTATTTAAGTCCTACAGTTTTTTTCTGACAAGTAATCATTTTCGTTACATGACGGATATTCTTCTCGGCGTTATTGCACTACTAATAAATATTGCAACTGGTCCTTATTTTCAGTTAAATATTTATTAAATTCTTCTAACAATGCTACTCGCTCTGTCGTATCATTAACTTGCGAACTTTTCAAAATTTCTTGACAATTCTTATAACTTTCACTTAAAATCCATAAATGAGGATGTAAATCAAGGAAATCGTACGGTAATTCGAACTTTTCAAATAAAATTGATGATTTTTTGTCGCAAAGTCATTAGATCTTTTGTGGATAATGAACGAATATCGTTTAGCAGCAAGTAATGTCAAAACTTTAAACAATCAACGCAAGTTCACCATTTCTAAACACTATTCTTAATTAACCTTACTTATTCATTTCTCAACTATGTAAATATGGTTAAAGCAGCCAATCGACAATGCTGCGAGACTGAATACTAACAAATAATTCTGTGCGACTTTATTGTAACGACATCTGTAATCCCTTAAATTGTAATTAAAAGTCGATATGATAAAAAATCAATATACCGATAGAAAATTGCTTTGAGCGACCTCTTCAATTTTTCGGCTCAAACTTTGAGAGGATTTTTTTACAAAATATATTAAATTTTTAGAGTGTAGGGAGACAACATTTTTTTGGACCACTCTAGTGTACACAGTAAATTTTATATCAGTAATGTTTTATTTTTACATTGCATTTAAAATTGCACCGCATTAAAAAAGGCGGGAAAACTGATTTAATGGGTTCGTACAATAAAACTATTTTACATGAAAATTTTTAATTACATCTGTTGTAAAAATAACGAAAAGTAGTTTGGCTCATTTGGTACAATAATTAAAACTATGTGTACCAATAATTAACATATAATTTTTGAACTTTGATAAACAAAATACGAAATCTTTAATAAATATCGAAACACAGAATTCATTATATGTTAGTCAAATAAATTCATTTTATAAAGTAATATTTAACAAGTATAAAGGCTTAGTAAAATTGCATGAGTTAAAATTAATGTAGCGTTGAAAGCAGTCTAGTTTATTTTGATATCAAATTTCTTCAGGAATTGGACACGGATGACGAATTGGATATGAACTTGAAATCTAAATGGCCTTTTCTTGGAATACTGGTTATCATCCTCCTTGAATTAGGTAAATTTGCAAGTATTATTATTTTGATGCTAAATGATCGAATGCGTTGGCTGCTGTGGTGTCGGTAATTATTGGCCAGGGGTGTCTCAAAATTTTTGCGGGGCCCCGTACAACAATCAAGACAAAATCTATTTAATAATATACAAAGAATTTATTACGTAATTATAAAAATTCAGTTTTTCTGAATACTTTTATTGATCGGAAAACAACATTTTCCTACCATTTTTGCAATTATATTTTTGCGATCCCACGATATATTTTTGAGATGTGGTGACGCCATTGCAGTCAAGGTATCGATACAAATATACGATGAATAATTAATAATAATGAAAAATTTAGACGTCACTAGATCAATTATGGAAGAGAAAGAAGAGTTTGCATCATTAAAAATTGATTCCCCTTCTTCTCACGTTGCTCTTTCGGGGGATCTCGTGATATCTGTTGTAAAATCGAATCAAACGTTAGACGAAACAAAGTACAAATACGAGTTCAAAAAAGAAAATAATCAGAATATTAAGCAGCTAGATAATGTTTCTAACGAATTTTCTCTATTAAGGTGAGTTATATTTACAGTATAAATTACGTTAAAAATTATTATTAAATGGAGAAATGAATTTCTGTAAAGTTCAAAATTTAAACATTTTAAATTCTTCAATTTAAAAATTTGTATATTTGTAAGGCCATAAATTTTATAGTAAATTTGCTGGATTTATTAAATTAAACAATTCTTTTTTAATTTATTGAATTTAATAATAAATTTGAAAATCTTCGATCTCAGAATATTTTCTAGAACATTTTTTCTTTTATTTGAATAAAATTGATTTCATTCAAAAGTCGGGTAGAATTCATTTTTCCACCAGATGAAATTTTAATAATAATAAAAATAATTAATAGATAATTTCTATTTTTTAGAATACTGTACCTTCTTGATGACATATCAGAATTAATTGGTGAAATCCAATTAGAAAAGCTACCTTCAGAAAATGAAACTATTTCAATTATCGTACCTTGCGGATATTTCACACGTGGCGGTATTTACGTTTTGCAAATAGAGTACAAATACAAAAATTCAGCGGTGTCGATTGTCTCCAATTATCAGGTTAAACAATTAACATTATTACTGTATGCCTTATTACATTTTATTTTCAGTTCTTTTGTACAATCAAAATTCATAGAATCACTCTTTTAATTATGATTTTTGCTTTAAGAAATTGTCTTAAAGAAATTACAAATTATTTAAAATAATTACTTTAAAAAGTAGTATAAAAAATGCTTATCCAATATTACAAGCTTTTAAAGACATAAGGTAAATATACTTATTAGGGATTAATTGTTTATTTTATTTCATTATAACACAACTAACAAAGAAATATATTGGGCAGAAGCTGAAATATTTCAGTTAAAAATATTTGATTTTTCCATTTCATTATTTGTTAACAAATTTAATATAATTTATTATTACTATTAAGTTTCAAGGGACAAATTCATTATATAATTAAATTACAATAAATCTGTTATACAATTTCGTTATGTTGCTACAGAAGGGGTAACTGCGACAATTTTTGGAAGTCGCAAATGTTGAATTGCCTAGAGCTTCCTTGATGCTGTAACGGTTTCTATATTAGAGAATATAGTTGCATAAAAATGTCATTACTGTGTATATAAGTGTATGAAAATGTTATTAGTGTAATTATTTTTCCAAGAATTGTAATACGTGAAATGGTGATAAGAACTGCGTAACACACTTTTTGGCGACTGACACGTTTATGCGCGCTTTTCCCGGACGACGTCACGCGAGGACGCTTGACACACGACTAACTCGCACGGTTACCACCATCATGAACTATTCGAGGAATAGATTGCACACTGCGTACTTATAAGGAAAATAATAATTGTATACAAATACTACTATATATATTTATACGGAAGTACTACTAATACATATAAAAGTAATATTATTACTGTAAAAGTACATACGAAAATGGCAACATAACGAAAATCTATTTTATATTAGATACCCTACATACCTGTACCTCTTACAACAAGTACTATTATATTATTTAAAAATTCTTAAATTTACTACACAGTATTAACCAAAATTTGGTTGCAGACAAGTAAAATATTGGACGTTAAATGGCCGATGCCAATGCTCTTCTTGGAGTCGCAGCAAATTACCACTTACCCGAGTAAACCTGTCAAGACCGTGATAAAATACGACGGAGTTAATTGCAATCCCTCCGAAAATGTTCCTGCAACAGTCTATATTTTACAATTAATATATTGCGGCTCAAGCGTAACTGCTTGTTACTTACAAAACTATACTTACATTCAGGTAAATCAAATTAATTACTCTTTACCGTGTTGCATTGTGTATTATTGAGATTTTTAAATAACGTTAAAATATGAAGATGCGATAATTTTTAAATTGTCGAGTTTAAATGTGCATTCTTGTTCGAAGACAACAAATGTTACTATTTGTTAACAAATATCACCATTCGTTAAGGTCAAGTTTAATGAGAAATAAAACTCCCGAGTTCAATGACCTTACGCGGGGAGTTGCGAATCCCGGTGGTCTTTGTTTATCTTATATTGTTTTGGTTAGGAGATACAAGGACAGTAGATATTTGACTTTCAAGAATACAGAAAAATGACACTCGGTAATTCCAGGATTTTTAAGCCAAAGAGTTTTGCTGTACTTTTTTTCAGAGATATCCTTTATACTGTATTATACTTAACTGTATTATACTTAAAAATTATATAGAACTGGATTTTGCGATTTTGCTTTAAAAACTTATGCTTTCATTCGTTATGCAGTTTTTTGGTGAAATAAAATCCGGTTTTATTTATTACTCGACTTGACCCGTAACAACAAATATTACCATTTGTTAATTTTAATTAAATTTTCAGATATTATACCATGAAGAAATACGGGAATTTCTGACAACAAAAACTGTATATTTCCGGTGTGAATTTTTCGGGTTGCCGGGAAATTATGCAGTTCGACTGAAAGCTTCGAACGTTAATCCTACGGCACCAAATACAAGTGTTTATTTTAAGGTAATTAATTTTGTTGGATTAAATATCTGTTATATTGTATATACAATATATTGTAATATGATTATAATATAAAATTTGGGATTTATATTTTTTAAAATATAAAGTTTGGGAATTTCAAAATTTGGAAATTTTAGAAATTAGAAATTTGAGAGTTTGAAGTTTCATAATTTGGGGATTTGGAAATTTGAGTATTTGATAATTTATAAATTTAAGAATTTAAAAATATAAGAAGTTGAGTATTTGAGAACTTGGTCAGATTATCTCTGATCAAATTATTATCAATCGAAATTAACAATACATTTTTTATAATAATTTTTTTCTAGGTAAATTGGTCAGAAGAATTTAAACTGACAGTCCATGCCAGATCGATATATCCCTGCGAAGGATCAGGAGGTGTATCCGTCCTTTTCGAATATCCTTCCTGTCGCTTAGAAGGTGATCGAATTCGCGTTTACGGGCGTTTAAAAGCTGACGTCACATCCGTTGCTTCGCCTTCCACTCTTCATTATATTACGGAATCTAGATCGATACCTGGCAAGCACTCCTTGGCTTTCGACTGTGATTTTTTTACGGAAAAATTTGTCGAATATTGCTTCATCTATGTCAGTCAAGCCATTACAGGTGCCATGGTGGACGTTAAGATATCCTGTATACCTACCTTCCCTTTTCAAGGTACGGTTCGTTCTTCTCGTATGTTTTTTCTAAATTATTTCAGTAAAGTTTTGATATAAGTGAAAATGCATGATATAAGCGAAAAAGTTATCCCCACCGCTAGGGGGAAGACTTTTCAAGATAATTTGTGATCCGTGAGATAATACCAATATAAAGCTTTTTTATTTTTTCTTTTTTTCAATATCAAACTCTTACTAATATATTTGTGAAATTTTTCTTATTAAAATGAGACAAACCAAGATATAATTTGGACTATATTTACTGGTTTAATTGACAATAAGTTTAGGACACAAAGAATTTGAGAATTTAGGTATTTAGGTATTTAAGAATGATATAAATTAGGGAACTTAAAATTTAGAAATTTATGGATTTGGACAATTAGAAATTTGAAAGCTTGAAGATTTGATAATTTAGAAATTTAAAAATTTAGAAATTCAGATAGTTAGAAATCTAGAAATTTAGAAGTTCAAAAATGCAGAAATTAAAAAATTTTTAAATTTGCAATTTAATACATTAAATAATATGGAGTACTATAATATGAGAATCTGTACATTTAAAAACTTTCCATAGAAACAGTTTCCTTGACCTCTTAGCAAGAAAGTTTCAAGTTACTAGTCCCTGCAGTCAAAATACCTTCAAGTGCAGAGGGTTAAATAGAAGGGTATCACTTTTCACTTAATTATAGTTATACTTCGTGGAATACCGGGGCCACCGATAACCTACGACACTCAGAACGTATCAAAATACATATTATAACTACTATATGTAACACCATAATATTAACATATTTAGTAAACTTATAAGACTTCAATTCATAAACATTTTCCAACTTACAAATTGTGTTTACAAGAAACTAATTAATTTGTTATAAATAAAATTTGTTAAATTAATTTATTATAATCTATACTTTATATATTATTATATATTTTAGTAATCATTGTAATTTCTGTAGAAGGTGATGCTGCTGGCTGGGGTCCATGGAGTCCATGGAGTCCATGCAGTAGCTCATGTTTTGGAGGAATTCGAAATCGTTATCGTTTCTGTGACACCCCACCACCAAAATATGGAACAAAATTTTGCCAGGTAAATCTTGAAATATTATTAGTTCATAATCAATCTTAAGTAATAATTTGTGAGTTTCAATACTATACAACCATGATTAGTCATCCAAGCTTCATAAAAAATGATGTTAAAAATATGGAATATTATTTAATGCTTATCCTAAATATTGCATAGCAATATTAAATTAATGAAAATTCGTCATTTATTTTTTATATTATAGGGAAAAGCAATAGAAACTGAATTTTGTGGTAAAGCTTTTTGGGACGAGTCCCAAAAAGAAAAGGGATGGCAAAACCAGGTTGAAAATTCTGAATGCCATACTACAGTTTTAGCTGCCACAAAACCTGAAGTTGTAGCTGAAATTGGATTACAGTGTCGATGTGGATGTCGTATAACGTTAAAAGAACAATTTACTAGAAAAATGCTAGGAGCTAATACTCAAGCATGTCCTGGCCGATCTTTTTGGCTTTTACAGGTATTGTCATTTATTTTAAAAATAATAGGTGTTATTATGCATTTTGGAACTAAAACAGATCTGTTGTATTTTAATGCAAACACTCTGCATATCTTAATAATTGTTTAGTAAGAACTATCACAAAATAATAATATAAAACCATTATTGATTTATAACACCTGATTTTATTTCTTTAGGCGGAGACAAATTTTGTAATAGGATTACATCTAGATCAATTACAATTTCCTTGTCCAGGGCAATATTTTCGTGTTCGAGATGGCAATTCTTTAAACGCGGATCTTTTGATCGACGTTGCTTCGGATAAGATACAACATCCAAAGAAGACACTAATAAGCTCTGGACAAAATTTACTATTAGAATTTTTTAGCGATGAACTTACAGCATCTGGAGATGCTTGTATCGGTGGTTATCTTGCTCATGCAGCTGTACTAGGTAAAAGATAATTGTACTATTAAATGCAAGATCAAAAATCAATATTAACCAAACCATCCAAAAATAATTTCTATAACTAATTATTATAGTTTAAGAAATTTATTATTATTGAATTACAGATAAAAAATACTTGAAAAGAAATGGAACTGTAACCGTTGTGCCTTTTGAAGTAAATTCAACGAATGTTGAAAAAGAATGGATCTTTTGGAAACCAGCACACTTAGTAACTGCCTTACTTTTAATACTGATATTCATAGTTTCTGTCTTTTTGACATTGCAGTTTGTCATAAAGTATAGGAAGTATCGTATTGCAGAGGATTTGGATAATCTTAGTGACGTTTCTGGTAAAATTAATTATGTTTTATATTGATGAAACAATTACAACAGTTTATAATATAAAATGAAGTCAAAAAGTAATGTCATAATTAATATATAACTTTTGATAACTCCTTTAAATTAAATGAATTAAGCTTTAATAATATTTATTAGATGCTACATAGATCACAGTTGGTCTATTATAATTATTCTATTTTGTTACTTGAATATTTTTTTGTAATCAGAGGTAATACCTGGCCGATCAAAATATTTGTCTACGAGTACGCTTATTTCTGAAGTGATATCAATGATAGAAACCACTGCAAAGAATTCTCCAAAAGAAACTTTATGTAGTGCAGTGGAACAATATAATAGTACTGAAACTTTAACTGGGTAAGAACGGTAATAAATTTTTTAAATTTGAGATTATAATAAGACAAGTGATTCACATTAAAGGTTAATAATTTTTTAACATACAGTTATAAAGAAGAAAACAATTTGAGTTCTAGTACATTAAAATTGAATAATATAGTTGAAACTTCCTCAACTGAAACGATCACATCACCAAAATCAGACTGTGATAAATTATTATCAGCTTCCAGTATTGTTTATAATAAACCTGAAGTAAAATATGCTTATCCTGTAAGGTGAGTTAAATTAATGTTACTCAAACTAATACGAGTTAAAAATTATTTATATTATAATTGTTGCACAGATTGCAAACGATAGATTGTAACACTTCAGAAGAGAAAATATTAAAAATAGAAAATGAAAAATTAGAAGATATTAAAAACAATATTACACCCAAAATTTACCAGAACAATGAAATTAGTTATTCTGATGGAAAGGTAAAATTATTTATATAAAAAATATATATCTATAAGACAAATTTTATTATTTTGTGAACTTTTTAATATGTAGGAATCTTCTCCCGAAAGTACCGTTTCAAGTTCAACAACAACTTCAGGAGGTGGAAAAGAAACTAAGGAAAAAAGAAACCGAGAAAAACTTTTACAAGGGCCAGGATCAGAATTTAGTTTAACGAATCTCGACTCAGAATTAGAATTGGATTATTATGATTATAATGTAGCCAATGCTAGTGCTGTTCCTGGATCTTATTTAGGCATGGATCCTGCTTTTCTGGTATGGATTCCACCAATTGAAGACATAAATCTTGACACAGAAGATTTTCTATTAGGGTAATTAATAACTTTTTCGCGATATTTGCTTTTAATATTAGTATTACTAATTATATAAAATATTCACCTTAATAGTAATAAAAGGGATTCCATTTTAACTCTTGAAACTGAAGGTATTGCACTAACACCTTCTGAATATAGAAGAATGAAACTTTCTACTTTTGATGACTTCAAACTTGAATTAGATCCAGCGTAAGTATTCAAACAGAATATATGTATGTATATTATAGCATTATAACTTACACATACAATAATTTTAATTGATATAAATTTAATATAATATATATAATTTATTTATATTATAAATTTACTAATTTTATGGTAATAGGAAAAAATATTTTAGAAAAGATGATACATGTCAAAATTTGGATTATGGAAGTTTAATGAACGATGATATTTCTGGAACTCCTAGAACAAGGACATTTGAAAAATTACTTCCTATTCAAAAACTCTTAGAAGATTCTAGCATTAAAGTAAGCATGGAATCTGTATCTAGTGTCCTTGAGCATAAACAATATTGCGTTATTCCAAATAGAAGGTGAGTGAATATTTATTTGTATAAACAATATTATGTAAAATATATGCAAGGTGAAATATTTCTAATATTATTAGACATTTAGACATTAGAAATTTCAAAATTGCAATAGCTTTTTTAACAGCTTACAATATATTCTTATTATATATGTATAATATATAATAAGTGTTTCTGAGTTATTTCAATACTTTTATATTAATGATACATTTTTATCTATAGGGTTTATATAGGTAAAGATGAGGAATCAGTTGAAAAATCTAATTCCCCAAAAAGCCTTCACGATAGTCCTATAAATATAATTGATAGCAGTGAAAATAATAAAGAAAAATTAAATTCTGCACCAAATAAAGTTTTGCAAAAAGATTTATCAAAAATAACAAACAATTCTAGTCAAAAAAAAGTGTCCAAAACTCAAGATGAGGAGTTAACAAACATATCCTGCACATATAAAGAATTAATGGAGTGCACTCAATCCTTTACAAATAAACAAGATACTGTGAATATTCCAATGACAGAATTATCAGGAAGTCCTTTAAGAAATGTTACACAAATTCAAAAAAGAGATACTGAAGTTTCTTTAAATATTCAAAATACAGATTGCGGTATAGAAGCATTTTGTAAAAGACAAGGTTCTCTTTATGATCAAAACATAAAATTTGTTGATGAAGATGATGATGATGATTATATTGGTTAAAAATTGTATAGAATTTCTTTTTATTTTTATTATGAACTTGATTTTTATAATACCAAAAACAGTATTTTTGTTTTAAATTTATTTCGACTCAAAGTGCAAAGTTTTAGTACCTTAATAATATTATTTAAATATATATCTTTTTGTTATAACATTGTGATATTTTTACAAAAATGTTGAATTTTTTAGATATAATGATCTTGGTATTTAAGTTTATTTTCTTTTTTAATTTTGAACATTTTTGTTCTATTTACAAATATAGCGAATTTTTTCAAAAACATTCTCAAGAACTTTAAATTTATTTTTAATTTTTGTAGTCCCTTTAAGAAATATATTTAAATATTTATATCAATGTTACATCAAACTTAAAAATATAAATAAAAATAAAGAGAGAAGAAGAACAACATCTGTCTTTACATCTAAATAATATAAATACTTTTAACTAAGTGAAAAATGAATAGAACACAATCAAAGAATATAGTTTTAATTTTCTAAAGTTGGATTTTAAATGTACTTTTAAAATTAATTATGTGCAATTGTACATAAATTTTAATAGTGTAATTATTAGAATAGTACAAATCATATGATATTGCACAATTATCATGAAAATCTATCTTTTACTTATACATTTGTACAATATAAAAATGTGTAATCTAAGTCAGAATTATACTAATACTTAAACAGGTGGACTTATAATTCTATATGATTGACATTTGTTAATATTAATTTTCATTAGTAGATACAATTACTAAAAGTGATATTAAATCAGCTTAATCTATTTGCTATAGCTTATGTACGCATGTCTTTTATATATTAATTGAATTTTCATTTAGTAATTATCAACATGCAATATATTATTATACTTTATATACATATATTTGTGAGAATATTATTTTGTGATTTTTGTTTCTACTAATTCTGACATAGCAATAACTTCAAATGTAAAATATTATATGTGCTCATGCAAAATGAAAACAAACAATTTTATTGCTATGTTATAAATTTTAAAGTCATGTTTTCTCTATTTTGTATATAAGTAATCTGCATAATACCAAAATGAAATATGCAAGAATCTAACATGATAACTGAAAAAGTAACAGAATTTAATAGATGATTAAACAATGTACAACACAAACATTTAATAATTGCTTTTTACATAAAACAACAAAATTTTAGATTAAGAGTAAATAAAATAAGTCAAACAAAAGATTGTATGATTCTAGAAATGTACTTTACATGTATACATATTCTGTAATTGATCCTTAAAATTAATACTTACTAAGTTTCGAATAATTAACTGATTTCACTGTTGAATATGTAACTATATTTAATTGGAAATTTAATTATGATCTTTCTATAGGCTTTCAATTAATGTTTAATCATTATTAATTTCTTCTCTGCAATATATTATCAGTTTATTGTTAATAACTTATTCTTTTCTCAAGGCAATTTTTTGTATTATGAAATAACATAAGAATTATTAGTCAAATAACTTTTGTAACATATTAAAAAATGTAAATAACTGATATTGTAATTATAAACTATTATCACATTTAATTAAGATTTTATAAAAACTTTATATTTTATTATAATAATGTATTTATTATAATTTTTATTATGAATTAACGTATATATAATTAAGAAAAATTTTTTTATAAATGTCATCTTAGATATTAATAAAAGTGCTAAATAAACTAAAACTTCAGCCAGTTAAAACTTTTGTAATATTTCAATTACCAATGTAGTCACATGGATCAAGTTTTACAGGAACAAGTAGATTATAGTTTTATAATATAAAGATGTAATAAGATTGTTGAATTTTAATGTATTTGTTATTCAATGTTTCAAATGCATGAAATAATTTATAAGTTGCAAACATTATGTTTCGCAACATTTTTATCTGCTTCAAAGACCTCTTTGGACTTTTAGCGTAAATTAATACATGTACATGTTATATTATATGAAAATTTATGTAAAACTATAATACATGATGTAATATGTACTTTTCATAAAATAATGAACCTTGTACAATCTAATTGCCGCTGCTAAAATAAGATAAAAATTGCTGATGCAGTGTAATATACTAAGAAAAGAATTATCCTGCATAATTATTACATAAAGACATAAGGATTTCAATTTAAATGCATATACATTTAATACCATTTTAGATACTTGCTGAAAATGATCATGAAAATAATTGATAGCAAAAGTAAATAATAAAGTATAATGTAAATCATTTAATACACCAAGGTTTAATGCACTAAACACTGCATTATTGCTATACAAATTTTTAGTTACATAAAATTAAATGAATGTCACGTCAATGTTTCGTTTGTTGAAACTGTTTATATTACTATAAATTGTTTCAATATTAAAAGATTTTATTATTTTAAATCAGGACTTACTTGGAAAAAAATTACTTCTAAAATTACTACTTAATTATGTGCGGAGCCTGAACACCCAGTAATCTGGAATTTTCATCTGTTACCGGTTTTATGTCCTGTACAACAATCCCGTGATCCGACGTCGCGAATATAGAAACCAAAACTACGTTGACCTTTGAGACATCGTAGTCATTTTCATTCATCTGTTTCGTTGAATGTTTAGAATCTCGACTATCCAATCTTTCAGCACGGCATATTAGCAGTCTAGGATTATCCACATCCCAGCAATGAGCAGTTACTAATCTTCCTTTACATTTTACAGCCAGACCAGTATCATCTTCGTCGATATCATTAGATTCTGCGAAATCAAATTCGTGTATCTGATCGCTTCCTATGTCCCAAACGTATAAAATCGAACTGGGCATCAAGTTAGTCCTGGCAACTGTAATGGATACTAAACGACAGTTCGAGTTACACTTTGCCTCAATGACTTCAGCAAAATCATTGATCGCTTCGTAAATTGCCATTGTTCTGGTATGCAATTTCGCTTTCCCTTTACTTAAGTCCCAAATTTTTAAAATTCCATACAAAGATGCAACCGTAAGATATTGTCCAGTAAGGTCCATCGTGATCGGTTCACCTTCTCCTGGTAACGTAGGTAACAACATCTGCATAACTGTACCTTCCATCGATCGTAGTTGAATATCTACAGGGGTCAGAACGATCAAAGTATGCTCGTATATTAACAGCTTCTCCGTATCGCAATGGAAACTTGTGACCATCGTAGTCGTCAGGGAATTATCTTTATATATTTATATTCCGTAAATCACGATTTGTCTACCCGAGGATACAGCAATGTGCTCTTTGTTTACAGCTACCAGTTGTATTTGAATGTCGCTTTTCAAAACGTAAGAAAGCTCGTCAATTTCTAGTAAAATTTGAGTAGGTGCGAGTTGACTGGCGCAAACACCGTCATTATATGCAGCACACATTGGTTGTTGATGTAGAATAAAAACATTCGTTATACAATTAACCGTAATGGATTTCTCAAAAAACCAGCACCCCATATAAGGTGTTTCACTGTTTCATGAATGCTATAAGATTTTGGTACACTCGACCAACCATTTTCATCGTAATCCGTTTCACCTTTACGTTTCCATAGATAGATTGTTCCCAGATTTGTACCAGCAGCCAAAGTACCTGGAAAATTTTAGGCATTTGTTTCTACATATTTTATGCTCCAAATAATATACAGACAGCACCATTATTTTTGCAAAAAGATATGCTTGTGCAAATCTCTTGCGGTGTAGCGATATTTCCAGGAGATGAATCCGGAGCAGACAGCACGTAACTATCGCCGGTATGAAGATCCCAACAATGGACACCTAATTCTCCTGTAAGAATTGCTACAATATTTTCACCGGCCCAACACATTGCTGGGCTAGTTCGTGACACGTCGTATCTACCGCTGAGTTTCACCTAAAAATAAACATTTACAGAAAATTGTAATTGAACAACTTTTGTTATTTCGACGAGCCTGTTAGTAATGGGATCCATTTGAAAATGCCCTATATTTAACCCTTCCGTCATAATAATAACGGAATCTCTACTTTGATGGTACAATAGAAACTGCAACGCGACACCGTTTGTGTTGAGAACTTCCCAACATAGACCCTCTTTGTCAACAAAGTATATTACTCCGCTGCTTGTTGTAACATAAAATGTATGATTATCTCTTTGCAGTGCAGCCGTTAGTTGTACAGTCGTTCTAGGACGCCAAAAGCTAAATATATCCAACAATCTTTCATCTCCTGCAACCGCTGTTTTCGGTAAACAACTGAAAATGATTATTATTTTTTAATCTTTTCTATACCTTCAAAAAATATATTTCAACCCACTATATGTATATCGAACGCTGATTTCTGTGGAATTGTTTTGAATACTATTTGTACCAAAGAAACCCTCAGCTCATGGCGATACATCACTGCCAAGTAACCTCTCCAATCAAGATGCGAGACTATTATAAAACCAGTTGCATCCGCGGTTACCACTATTCCTCCATGCATACTCCATTGCAGAAGTGTAATAGGATCATGGTGTAGTGAGATTACTGAGTTAAATTCAACGCTCCCAGTATCGCCTGGCCATAACTAAATACGTATATAAATACGTATATAACAGGTTTACTGCTGTTTATTCTTACAAAACAATTGCTTTAACAAAGTTTTAACAGGTTATTAACCATCAATTCTCTGCTTTCCAATCCTACAACGAGCCAACGTCTTTCTGGATTCCATCCAAGAGCTGCCACCTGCAATTTTGAATGTTCGGTTCTGCGATACCAAAATCTTGGTGATTTCACATCCAGTACGAGTTCTCCTTGATCATCATAAATAGTTACAAAACTACCCTTATCTTGAGAATATGCAGCAACAGCTAGCACAGGATATTTGGCATGCCAGATTGCCATGCTTATGGCAATACTTATAGAAGCTGTTTCCGGGGTTTGTACGCGTGTATCAAAGTACAGCGACATTATGTCCTAATAGTTGTTTTCACCGTTAATGTCACCGCTGTCATGCGAATTGGTTTCAGTACGTCTCCTAAAAATATGTTAAAAGGTGCTATTTTAAACCAAATGAATTTTCATAAGTCCTAGAGGCACACCACTATTACGTACTTATTGACAGAACTGAAAGAATCGATATGTGATATATCGTATATGTATTCTACGTACAACACGTGTTTATTCTGTATTCAAATTAATCCATGACAAGTTGATCACGTTTTAACTTTAATAGCAATTCGCGAACGCAGTGCAAATGAAAGTGCAGAAAAAATTTGAATCGTTATTTCACTTCGTACAAGAAGTACCGACTTTCGAATTTTACAAGTTTTGTGTATTTTCACAAAAACAAGTCATACTTTTACATTTTTATTTTCGAAACTAATTTTTATTTGGAACATATAAACTTTTGTAAATACGTGTAGCACGAATTAGCTTTTAACAATAAAATATCGATATCTTAACTGAGCGCCGCTGCTCGGTTCTGGGTGCAATCAGTTACCGTGAAAGATGGTTTCATATAGCGAGTCAATGAAAACAAAGAAACATATGTGTGCTGCGTAGTTATACACATATATACGCATATATATACATATGTATACTGTCTTGAGGCTACATTAATCAGACCACCGTATCCTGTTTCTTTGTTTTCATCGACGGTTCTCTCCCCGAAACCAGTTTCGCGAACTGGTGGGGATAGCGTTCGTTTATGGCGGGAGTTCAGCGCTCAGTTATGGCGACCTTTACAGGCATTCGACTACGCCACGTTCGTCAGTTCGTTACTTGAAACCGTTCGAGTATCATTGTCGCGAAAAAATTGAAATAGATTTCTTCAACAAATCTGTCAAAAAATTTTCAAGTTACTATTTTTTTCATAATGGCATCCAGTTCTGGCATGGCAAAAATAAGCATGGCCCAACGCTTAGAAATTCTGGACAAATTAGAAAAAGGTGTAAGCACCGCTAATGTCGCTCGCGAGTACGGAATCAGTGCAGCAACCGTTAGACGTTATCGACAGAACACGCAGTCGATACGGCAATTTGCGTCGGATGCAAAAAATTTAAAGAAGAGCAGACGAAGACAGCGCATATATACTGAGATAGAAATCAGGTTGTACAATTGGTTCGTACAGAGGAGATTACAGGGAGGTGCATTGAATGATCACGTAGTGGTGGAAAAAGCGAAGGAAATCGCTGTAGAATGTAATAATATATACAATTTCAAAGCGAGCAAGGGCTGGCTATGGAATTGGAAGAAAAAATACGACGTACGCTTCGTGAAGAATAACGGAGAACCGGTAGAATCCGATGAAGACGCCGCAAATAGTTTCATGCACGAATTCGCACAATTATTAACAAGTCGAGAGATTAATAACGAGGATATTTATAATATGGGCGAATGTGGTCTCCTTTGGAAATTTCTTCCGCGTAAAATGCTGATCCAAAATGGAGGGCGCGTTCTCACAGACAAAACAAAAAAAGAGAAAGTAACTGTCGGCGTATGTGCGAACGCTAATGGCACGCACAAGTTGCCACTGTTATTTATACATAAATACGCAAACTCTCGGGCACTGAAACAACATAAACATACGTTACCCGTGACGTACAAAAACCAGCCTAACGGTTGGATAAACGAAGAGCTGTTTAGAGATTGGTACAGCAACGATTTCAAAACAGCGGTGAGACAACGGCAATTAGAGCACGGTCGGACAGGAAACGTTGTGCTGTTAATTAATAATTTCAGGAGGCATAAACTCACGGACAATGAAACGGACGACGGACAGTTTAAGTTGATGTTTTTACCTTGTAATTCCGCGGCGTTAATTCAGCCGATGGACCAAGGGATAATTACCAAATTGAAATTATTATTTCGGCATAAACTGATTCAGAAAGTGTGTATGTTGTACATTTGTTTATCGATGCTTTCTTTTCACTTGTCTGTCGTGAACATATGTTCGTTGTCCGCAGGTACTACAGTGTGGTGAAGGGATCAATACATTTTTCACCAATTACAACATGAAACACTGTATTGATTTTATCAGTGAATCATGGAATGAAATTACACGGGACAGTATTTTCGACGCTTGGGCGAAGATTTTGAAGCGTCCGCAGTTGACAAATACAGATTGTTCACAACACGAAGGAAACACGGAATATTCAAATATTGCCTCTGATAATAAGACGGAAATTAGAGAACGGTTTTCAGAATGTGTCCAAGCGGAATTAGATCCTTCCGAGATAGTGAAAACGGAAAGAAAAGAAGAAGATGATGAAAAGAAAGTAAAACAGGAAGATGAAGACTTTTCGCCTTCTTCGCCAATGGAGGACACGGATATCGATCTATTTTTAAGTTTTTTGAGAAAACTAATGAAAACCGAACCGCGAATGAAAGATCACGCGAAAGCAATAATAAATTATTATGATAAAAAAGACTAGTCGATACTTCTCGTTTCTACGTTTCCTTTGTTATAATAATAATTATTATTAATCCATATTAATTGTCGATGACAACTTGTATTACTTTGTATTAATTATAATATTTATTATAGATACTGTACAGTCCGAATTTTACTACAAAAATGCCTTGTTTTAACTAAACAAATTTTAGAATAAAGACTGAATTGTTATATTCACTGTATTTTTTTACAACGGTAATTTATTATTGAAGTCTTATTTACTAGCAGACACAAATTAGACTAATTACTAATTCCAACCACGGTGTGAGATCGTACAATAGATTAGATAAAATAAAAGTATAACTGTTCATGGAAGGAATGCGGATTCCATTGATTGTATCGTAATAAGGCACACTTCTTTTTAACACAATTATAGAAACACTGATGCACTTTGAAATGAGTTATTTCAAGTGAAATTTTAGGTGGGCTTAAGTAATTTCGATATGCAAACATTAATATTATTATTGCTATATAACAATAAACAAATTACAGCAAGAGAAAATATAAAATTAAAATTTTTTAAAATAATCTATGACACGATTTACTTATTAAAAAACTGATGAATTATTGGTTGTTTTCTCGAATGCAGCATGTTCATTTTCATGGAATCTGATTTAAAAATTCTGTTAAACTCAATTCATCATACAAAATTCATGCAAGAATATTCCCTCTACATACTTGCTCGTTACAACGAAGTTGAAGAATCTACTATTCTTTTATTAACCTAACCGCCAATCTATCACTTGCGTAAAGTATGATCACTGCACCTACCTGTATTGTACATAAGTACATTCATTCGTATGTGTATTATACCATATGTATTCTACATATCTATCACTACATTTATTTTGCGCAACATTAATTATTTAATTTCAGCACCTTCTCTTTGTTAGTAGTGCATCTATTATGTGAAATGTGAATGAATTAATGAAGAAGTAAAACAGCAAGAATTTATCGTTCTTCTTTTTACTGTTCCTTTTAACTATCCGCTCTCTTGTCCTGTTGAAAAATAAACGTATTACATAAACCATGAACGTGCATATATGTAGAAGACCACAGGTCATATATATTCGAATTGCTTGGAACATCAAAAGTGCGCATGCGCGTTGCTCTTGGTTACGAAGCATACTCAGCCAATCAAAACTGACATGCGCAGCGCGAACAAAAACTCATCTGATAAGTATAATGATCTGTGTAGTGAAAAATATCTGTATTTTTGTTACTATAGTAATAAATTAAATTTAAAATAATAAACTGAATAAATTGTTATTTTATTTGTTACAGTTTGTTACAGAAAAGGTAGTAACGCAAGAAACAAGAGATCTCGAAATAAATGAGAGGAATGAACGTTCATCACAACTGTATTTAACGTACAACGGTTGCGACAAATTCAGATAAATCTTTTTCGATTAATGTATATAAACATTAACTTCCCATTTTATGGTATAAATATCTATAAGAAGTAGCTATATTCGGTATACAGGTTTGATATCATGGCATTTTGATCAAGTAAAGGAACGATTGGTAAAAAATTGATACTCGAGTGATTCATTTATTAATCTCGACCGTTAAAGACGTTTCTGGTTGAGTCCAAATGTAGCCAGTGCGTGTCATGCTGCAGTGTGCATCGTAATATCTACCCGGAGCACGGCAATAGGACCATCTTGGGCAGCGACATCGAAATTTACTATGAAATTCTTCTTTGCACACTTCGTTCCACCAACAAGTTCTCTATGCAACAAAAAATTGTTTGTATTTTAATAAATTATTCAAAACAAAGCTTGTAACAGTAACCTGTTTACTGGTTGTTTACCTCCGCCAAATAACCTCTAACGCTTTGATCACTGTAATTTCGTTTCTTGATAAGGTGCCTCGCACTTGTCGTATATACTTCTACGCATAAAACTAGTAACAGTAATAGATATAATGCCGCTCCTTCCTGCAAAAAGATCAATTCATTTGTATGAGCCACTGTTTTGATGATTTTATAGCTAAAGGTGAGTACTAAATAAAAGTTATAAAAATGAGAACGAAAAATGGGTGCTGAACGAGAAATCAATAGAAATAGATTGATTGTCGTAATGCAGTAATAGTAATGAACTTTGAAACTCTTTTAAGTGTACGTTCTCTTTCTTCAAGTATATTCTTTATTTGACGTGAACTTACGTTGTTGCGCATTTTCGTAAGTTTTTTTTTGTTGTGCAAGTCTTTACACAACCACCTTAAAATATCACATTAATAAATATCACAGAACAAACTACATAATTCGTTTCCAATGCTGTGTGCTCGTATAAGCACTTGAAATAAAAGACTACATGCAGAACGTGGCGCAGGCGTACGCTTATTCTTCTTTTGTATTTGCAAAATCGATCGTACCTAAAATTTCAATTTCTGGAAGCTCAAGAAAATATAAGTTTTATTTATTATTTGCATGTAATTTTTTAGTAATCATCTGGTTATTGCAAATTCAATTGATACACTACTTTTCTAGATTTTTAAAATATTATTTTTGTTGGAACAATTAAATTTTAATAACAAAAGAGGGTATCCGATGTGTCATAAACTTCTAACAATTCTGATCTAAAATAGTTTATAGACTAGATTTTATTCGATACAAGTATACAATTACAGTCATAGTATTTTAAAACTTTTAAAACTTTTAAATATCTAAATTCTAAAGTTTTTAGATTTGAACATTTGGAGGTCTACAAATTAAAGATATTTATATTTCTAAATTTATAGAAATAGTTTATATATGTAAGAAAGTAATTATTTGCTTAAAGATAAGTGACATCAATTTTTTTATAATTAGCGGGATAGAACATGCGCAGAAATAACAAATCTTTATCAATTCACGCATGCGTCCTCACTCATTGGTGACGCGTGACATTTTGAAAAGTTGTCAAGAACACAATTGTCAAAAATTGAGTTGCTTTGATAGAATATAAATTATATATTTAAAGAACTTAACATTGAATTGTATGTCAATTTATACTGAATATAGTATTATTATAATATAATAACTTACGCAGTATGCCTTTATGACACGCGCTACACTTATTGTACTAATACGCGTGTATAATTAAATATGTTATATTGATTAACGAGTAATTTGTAAGTAAACAATTTTGATATATTTGTACAATATTTCTGTATTTACATCCATAAAAGTTTTTAAAACGTCGTATGCAACGCCGCGGCGGTTATTGAGCAAGTGCGCATGCGTTAGGTATGTGTTTTCCTTTAGTTGTCACGTTATTATATAAATAAATAAGAAAAAAAATATAATATTTCATTTTGTTTAATAGATAATGCTGATATGAACGTATAATATATGTTTAATATAATGTATAAGTATTTATATATTTTTATTCTGTTCCATCATTATGCATTTATAAATTTTGGGACATTATTTAACTATTTTTATTATAAAAATAATATGTTATTTTAAGTTTGCGCATATAATAAGTATTCAATAAAATCGTAAACATAATAAAATCTGAGTATTTAAATTTATAATACTATATTGTTTACTAAAACTTGTATTGCATTCCGGTTATGATAAGAATGTTCAATTGCGATATTCATATTCTATAACGTAAGTTAAATAAATGACTTATTCATTATCCAATACATTATAATAATGATAAACAACGATGTCAATAAATAATGACAATAATATCTGATGATTTATAAACATAACCTGTAATGTCACTTTCTTTTGTATATATTTTTTGTTTATTTTTTTAATCTCACCTTATTAAGGTACGAAAACCTTTAACTTAGGACTTAACATTTTTTTAGGTGAATCTAAACATAGACGAATAATAATGGAACTGTCAAAGAACACTATTGATGGTCTCAATGATATGCTGAATATAAATACTGTTAATGATGATAATTTTGTACAGATTTTAGATACAGCTACTTCTTACATATGTGAAAGTCTTGCAGAAATAAGATGTGAGTATTATTTTGCTTACAATTATCAGATCTAAGTACTGTTAAATAATTCAATTACTTGCATTAATGAAATTGCAGATATTACCAAAGCAGCGAATTTAAAACCAATTCTAGCAAAGAAAATTGTTGCTGATACGGCATGTTTATTTGTAGAAGCTGCTCGACATGATTTAGATGAAGAAGGCTTAAAGACTTTTTTAAATCAAGCGTGTGGTGATGAACAAAGAATTAAGAAATTATGTGAAAAATATGTTAATAACAAAAAAATGATACAGTCACAACTAGAGTCGATAGGTAATAACCCACCACATATCGTTGACGTAGACTGGCATCTAGATTATTGTGTCAAGGTAATCGACCGGTGAATAGACTACCGATCGTTTCATTCACAAATGCTTTATTCATTCGTATTCACAAAAATCGTTTTTAGTTGGACACATGCAATTCCCTGGGTGTTCCACTGTACCATGTACGGTTTAGTACTAAAGAAGGGGAAACAATAAACCATGTAACATTCTCATGTACAATACAACAATTGCAAGAACTAGTCTTTAAACTTAAAGATGCCATCAGATACTCAGAAAAACTGACTAATGTTTAGCTAACATTCATGTTATGGATTTACTTTTATACGGTACAACACATGTACAATATTTTAAAATTTTGTTGCAAATATTTTTTGCTTTGTCGTAATCATTCTGTTATGTAATTCATGGAAATAATTGTTAACAGCTTATGATATTATACATGTATTCTTGTATAAATGAATCATTATAATACTTATTTAATAATAAATTCAATTTGTACGTGTAAGTGTAATGGTAAAATTGTATACAAATAACAGACTCTGTAAAGTATAATCAACTATATTTTTATAGTTAAAAGAACATTCTCTACTTCACGTAGTGTTATTACTGTATTAATAACGCGCGCGCGCGTGTGGGAGCGTATGCGCACGCACACATAGACAATTCGCAGAAATACATACATAAATTTGAAACAAACGACGATCAACGTTTCTATAAATAAAACAAATCTCGAAAACTTCGTTGAATTGTTTCAATTCAAACGATACTGAAATTTTCTTTATACAAAAATTATACACACACATTTTTTTCACTCGTTCACTCACTCAGGTACACCTTGTATACAAAAGAGTCGCGCGCGCATACAACTAATAACTTATTAAAAATACGTCGTTTTTTGCTCTACAATCAGGCATCTTTCTAAAAATTGCTTTCCCGTATTAGACAAAAAATACTATCGTTACGTGTACTTAGATCCTAAAAATATGCATGTTAAATTACATTTATAATCGATAATTTTTTTATATCTAATACGTGATATAGATCTTTTTGAATCATTATACACTATTTACAAGTAAACGTATCTAAAAAAAGAAAAGAACGATCTTTCATCATTAAAAATTTCATCATATATTAACTTTTTCTTTCTTTCCGGCACTTAGCAAAATTAATAGTGGATTTTTATCCATATGTGCTGTTTTAGTAAGTCGGTGCAAAACGTCACATCGATAATGTTAATTAAGCTGGAAAGAGAGAAATCACGCGCAATGTAATACTTCTTTATCCTTTTTTTCTAAATCATTTAACAATGATATTCTCTTGCTCGATTTTCTTAATATTATTTTATATATATATATTTATATATATACGATTACTGTGATAAGGCCTCGGATATTTTAATATAGTTGCATTTTTTTTTTATAAAGAACGTATGCTGATTATAAAGAAGGTATATACTCATGTAGCTAAAACTACCTGGAAGATTAGAGTAATTCTCGAGGCTTTGGTTAAATATCTACTTGTTGAAGATATATCAACAAATAAGCAATCAAATTTGTTCAAAAGTACAGTGTAGCTTCGTTATATGCTTCCACTTCATATGGCGCATTGGACTCAAATTTCTAAATTTCTAGATTTGTAAATCTTCAAGTCTGACAATTTTTTAATTTAAAAATTCAGAAATTTAGAATTTCTAAAAATTTGAAAACTTAGAAATTGTGAAATTTTGAAATGTCTAAAAATTTTGGAATTTACATTTAAAATTTAGAAATGTAGAAATGTAGAAATGTTCAAATTTCCAAATTTTTAGATTTATATATAGAATTTTTTAAATTCTCGAATTTTTAATTTTACAGCTTCGAAATCCTGAAATATAAAAATGTTTAAATTTTCAAATTTTTAAATTCATATACCGTCCGGTTATATAACGGGGCTCCACTGTATTACAAATACTGTAAATTGACAGATCTCATAAAATTATAAAAACTTGTCAAATATTGCATAAATAATATTATGATTCATTTTCCCTACATAATCTTTGTATAGCGTTGGTGTGTTTTTACGTTAAATATAATTTAGACTATATTCAACCATTTTTTGTTTCTTACTTCATTCGAGTCAAGCACTGTTATGTGTTATATTTTTAATTATTATGACTTTTAATCGCAAAATATAATTTTGATATTACCAACACATTAATCACAATATTATTTTAATATATCTCTGCGAGTTAAAAATCATAATAATTAAAATTGCAGTATACTCTGTTAAATTGATTTTCGATCAAGACTATTACGGAAAAAGTTATCAAAATTGTGAAATATAAAAAAAGCTGAAGCTTAATAAACTCTCTTGGCTACAATAGAATATAACAATAACCAAAAGCTTTCTTATGTACATAAATATACAAGGTAAATGACTTTTGAATTCATAAATTACGTCTCCACTTTGTTGACTTGGGTTTCAGATTTTTTTGCTGTATTTTCCTTTCGCTCACAATCCTCATTTTTGGATTCTTCTATTTGTGGTTTCGCAGTAGTTTTCTCAGATGTTTGCATAGTTTTTGTTTCGTTCAGTTCTCTTTGTTGTTCCATGAATTTTTCTACTGATGCTTCTTGTTTGTTATCATTGCTCAGTCCATTAATCTGAAAAATTGATTTCTCCTTTTTTTTATTTACATTATCACTATTTTCATCGGTCTGTTTTTTTTCCATATTTTGTTCCTTTGAAATATATGAACTATCTTCTTTACATTTTGCAGCTTCTTTTTCTAGTTGCTCTTTGTTCTGTTCTTGTTCTCCTGTACTAAGTGAAGGTTCTAACTTAATCTTTGAAGTAACAGTTAATGAATGTTTATTTTGTCCAATGTTTGAAGCAAGACAAACAGTGGTCGATTTAGAATTTCGAACTATATCTGTTGATGTTTTAACAGTTTCTGCATTACAGAAGTTCCCAGTCTTAGATAAATTAAATGCACTGACATCTTCCTGTGACGAACTTTTTGGAAGAAGTAAATTATTAGTTTCGAGAGATGTTGCGACAGTTTGTGTTTCCTGTTTAACCAAACCATAAGACGTAGGTGACATTGCTGTTAAAGAGGTAGTTTTAGGCGACTTAGGTGAAGAATAAGTGCTTGGTGGTATTCTCTGGACTGTTGGTGGTTGTGAAACTGGAGAGAAGCCAGTAGTCTGTGGAATATAACTGGATCGTTGATACAATTTATTAATTGAAGGTGGTAAACTACTATGGAAGGCACTAGGAGATGGAATTCCTATTGGTGAACGTATTAAAGGATTTGGAAACCTGGTAGCATCTGGAAAAGGTGGTGGAAAATGAGGATAAATTAATCTGGGATTCATATTTGGTGTTGGGGAAGGTATAAAAGGACTTGTTGAAAGCATATTTACTGGAGAATTCTTTGGAGATATCGGTGAGCCAGTACTTCTACAAATATCTCTTGAAAATGGAGGATTCGGGTAACTTCTTGCACTAGGAGAATATGGAGGTGGCGAAACGATAGGTGAATTAACTGTAGAAACGATTGGAGATAGAGTTTTAGGATCTATCTTCATCATACTTAGACTCCCATTTTTGGAACTGTTTGATGCATTTGTTGTCGTTGTTGGTGTTATCGATGCCTGCTCTTTTTCTTTACACTCATTACTAATCCCGTACATTGGTTTCACCCCAGAGGCAGGATTACCCAAATATCTAGGCATGTTTCTCATTTTGAAGATCTTAGCAGGTTTGGATTGAATAGTTTTACTCCTTTCAAAGAGTGCAGTCTGATGTAATTGGTTTTGTGCCTCTTTACTTTGATTTTTAACTGCTACATAATTGTTTTTTGAAAGAGTAGGATTCCAGCATCTCGGAGGATCACGAAGCGTTTTATACCCCACAGCTTGACTTTGCTTTTTAGAAACAGAAGAAGGAACTTTTTGTAAAGAGTGTGACGTTACTATTGGAGAATTAGATACTAGCGATGTAGCTCTTGGACTATCCTTCACATTTACATAAGCATTCTTACTTTCCACAGTAACTGCATTACTATTTGGAGCATAAACGGGTACACTTGGAATATTTTGATGTTGTTGTTTAGCAGACGAATCAGTCAATCCAGACTGTGAACTATTTTTCCTTCCAATTTTTAACAAATCTGGAATTTCAGATTTGCTTCTTACTTCTATCTTGTTCTTTTCCTTAGAATTCTCCCCAATTTTAGCGCAAATATCATCAATTTTTGAACCAGAGGCTCCAATCTTTGCACAAATTTCATTTATATTCAAACCTCTAGTAACCACTTCGCTTTTACGAACAGTTGGTTTCATTAAAGAAATCGGAATAGCATCGGGACATGGAGGCACTGAATATGTACCAGTTATTTCTAAGTTTCCTTTTGTTGCTGATTCCTTTGAAGTGTTTATTATTGAATTTGAGTATGTGCTTTTTGAAGAAGAAACGTTCGTAGAAGGCATACTAAATGTGGTGTTTTCCGATACTGCACATGTAGTTGTTTCTGAGCTGTTTTCTGAAGATGTAGCTACAGACAATTTTTGAGTCGTTGATGTCAAATTCTTCAACGAATTTTTCAACACTGTATTGTTTACTAGATCTTGAACCGTGTAAGGAAACGTAGACACAGACTGACTTATCGTTGATGTAGAGGTTGGATTTATATTATTACCAACTGTTGCAGCTCGAGATGTGGAGACATTAGGTGACCCGAAACTCTCACTTGTGAGTGGTTCAAGCTGCACGTACGGCATCTTTTGGAAAATTGTGTTTGTTTGTCCATTTGTCTTCTGGGAACACGTCTTTTTTTCTGAAACGTTATCTTTTTGAGAAGAATTTTTATCTTGTTCAGTTTGTTGCACTTTTTTCATATTAGAGTCTGATTCTTTTGCTTCAGAACTAACGGAGGTGGTGGTTAAATGCATCGACGAATCAGAATCTGCACTTTCTTGGGATTCTAAAGCAGATTTTTGCGATATCATTTTTGTAGAGTACGGTATCAATGATTTATTCATTGCAGTTCCACAATTATTTGCCATAACCTGTGCTTTTGAAGCATCAGAATTTTTTAGTTCCGCAGATTTTACATTTTCAGTGGTCTTTGTATCCGCTTTTTTCGACGATTGTGGCATAATTTTTTTATCTTTTACAGTTTTCTTCAAAGACACATTATTATTAGTATTAAGTTGCTCGATTTTTGGTTGAAACTGCAACTTTACGCTTAGAGCATTGATCTTAGATCCGGTATTTACAAGTTTTATTTCATTTTTTGAATTCTGTTTGGATGTTTCTAATTTAGTTTCCTCAATTGTAATATTATTGTTATTTCTAGATGAATCTTTTTGATCCTCATTCTCGATATTATTTCTATTGTCATTATCATCTATACACTGTACAGTTTCTTTCGACTGTGAAACTGTTTTGTCTTCGACATTAGTACTATCCAAATGATTTTTTGGTTCTTCTTCATTTTTACAGCTTACCGTATTTTCTGTTCCCTCAGTTGAAATTTTCTTGGTTTCTACTTGATTGCTATTTTTCTTGTCATCAAGTTCATGTACTTTAGAAGAAATATCACCCGACGACTGCTCGTTTTGTTTAGCAATCTCAAATATGTTGTTTCCGCTAGTATTATCGTTGGCTATTGATGTATCTATTGTTTCGATTTTTGGAACAATTGAGTTTTCAACTCCTGCACTTTTCTGAAATTGTTGGTTTGATATATCCGTGATACTCATTATACCAGTTTCAGAGATTTTTAATTGAACTTCTTTCCATTCTCTTTTTAGCGATTGTTCTTCTTTTGAGTCGATGGAATCAATTCCAGCATGAAGTAAGGATGTTTTATAATTGACGTTATCTTCTGAAAGTTTTATTCGTTTAGGAGAAGATTCAAATATCCTATAACTTAAATGCAATGGCACTTTCTGAAACAAATAAACAAAATTTTTATAACGCTGAAATTATTAAACTCGTATGTATATATACAAATTTTGAATGTTTACCCGCCTCCAATGATAAATATACATTACATCCATCAATGTATAACTAGTGGATAATGGTTCCTCCTTATACATTATGTCTACCCTGTGTGCATCGGTTAAGCCATATTTAGCACGAATAAGTTTTTGCAAATGAAAAATGGTTACTGCTGCAGGACAACGAAGATATCGCCTTAATAAAGGTTTCACAGGTACTCCTTTAACATCTTTAGTTGGACTGAAATATTCCAATGACAAACTAAGAGATTCATCCGGAGAATATATATGTGATTCGGTTGGCTCTCCTCTTGCTTCTGGAGATGTTGCCTGAGTGTATGCTTCAGGATGTTTGGAGTAGAACTCCCTTCTGCATCGCATCTCATCTGAAATGCACAATATTTAAATTGGTCATTTAAGTCATTTAAATCGCATACTCTTTTGATTAATTATAGAACTCACTTTGATAACATCCAGGTACCAATTTATACACAATGTCCTGCAAAGTGTGGTCTGGACGAATGTTCAATAGTGGTTTACTTTTGTGCACCTGTACCTCGCATATTGGACAATATTTATTGTTTTCCAGATACTTCACAATACAACTCCTGCAAACTGTAGTGTGACATTAATCGCTGCTTATATCAAAATGTTCAAATGATTGCTTAACCCTTTTGTGATGATGAAATCAAAATTATTCACCATAAACAAAAGGATCAAGAAAGTGACGAAAGAATACACGTACACGAATGCAAGCACTCTATAATAGTAGTGGCATCAATAAAATATCCACCGCATAATTTGCATGTTAGTTGATCATTGAGTTTGGACAACCGTAAGCGATGCCCTCCACTCTGACCTGACATCCTACAGTAGGAAAGATAAAATCATATAAACTTAAACTCTAATTGAAATAAGTATTGCACAAATTGTTATAATCTATAGCATTAATAATATTACATGGTATTGATGGATTATTAAACAAAAACTGAAGTAATACTCTCAGAGGATCTTAAGTGATTTTCGAGTTGAAAACGTTACACCGAGTAAAATCGGTACCGATTTAACTAACTATTGTAATTAAAACATCAAACTTACGTGGCGAATGACGCGAAAATTGTACGTTTTATCTAGTAATCGCCATTTGATCAAAGAAGTCAGGAAAGTTGGGTCAGAACTCGAGGTGAAATCTCACAAATCCCCATGACGAGAACATTCATTAAAAAAAAAAACTAACTCGAATTCGTCGGAAACAGTTTTCTTCCAGAGTATGAAATGTCGTCCGCTTCAATGATTTTTTTTCAAATTCGAGTCAATCTAGTTCATTGTAAAATAGGCCACGATACCAGGAAAAACTCTGAGGACGACAGCAAAACAAAATGGTGGATAAACAATCCTGCCAGTGACATTTCCAAAAACATGAGTTTCTCTACGAGTTTTCCCTCTAACCAGAATTTACGACAAAACAATGAAAATGTTACGAAGATTACAATAGAGAAATTAAAAGAAAGATTATGTTCAGGTAGTAGATATCTTAAATAACGTAGATGATACAAGCTGCAAGTTGCAATAATTAACGGTATCATTTATCGGTACAGTTGTTTTGGTACTTTATACAGATCAGAGATGGCACTAGAGTTGTATATTAAAATTTGCATTTACTTTTTATTTTTCGAGAGAACCGCATTGCCCAGCAACAAACTTTCGTTTACGGTGCGCAGATCTGCTTTGATTGGTTCTGGCATAATTTATAATGAATAGTAATACGCAAGCGCTTTAAACCAGCTTTGAGTTAAAGTACATATATCTGGTGATCTTTTATTTAGCGTGTTCCCATGCAGAGATGATTAATATTTACCTGCTGGAAACTACTCAATTTTCACTATTAGTAAATTTATTTCTCCATTACCAGTCAATTAATTATCTTAAAACTCGGTTAGATTTTTTATGACACATAAGAGTTACGTAATAATAATAAAATGATTTTGTCTACTTATTTCTCTCAATATGTATATATCTTGTGAAGTATTTTTGTTCACCGTGTATATAACCATGAAACAAGAAATAGGTTATAGATTGGTACTACACTGATGGTAAAAGAGTTCACTGAAGTCAGCTGAAATGCGCAAATAATTATGGTTCTCTCGTGAAATAAACTATAATAATAGAAAATTAATATTTACACGTATAATTTATGTGCATTATAAATATATATATGTGTATATCTATGTTACCTAAATTATGTGATACAATTTTATTTGACTACTTCCAAAAAAAGAATTTGATAATCAATGTGTAAAGCATACACAAAATACACTTTTTATTTTATAACGTAAATATTTACATAATTCTTTACTTTCTTGGTTATTTTGAGTTATCAACTATAAGTAATTATATAGTTCTAAGTTATAACACTGTTTCGTACATGTGTTATTATAAGGTACGTATAAATAAAAGATAAAAACAGAAATTTTTATCTGTTGTTACTTTTTAAGTTATCAATAATATTTATCTGAAATTTAATATGATTTACACTCTGCTATTTTTGTAATTTATGATATGACTGATATAAACTTTGAAATTACAGTAATCACAGTATTTAAATACTGTTAAATACACACCTGCATGTAGGGAACATGTGTGATACAAAATGAAGTAACTAATTTGATATTCATTTTGAATTAACGACTTGCTGTATATGAATACAAAGCCTATAGTTTAATGTAAGTATTATACCTAATTGTCTACTATTAATAATTTAATCAAATCCATTAAGATTATTGTTATTTAAAATTAAATAATATTTTGTAGAATATCTGTTCAGGAAAGCAAATATCGAAATTTTAAAAATGGTCACGTTACAAGATATTAGTGTGCAACTTATGAAACCAGCAAAAGATCTTGCTGACTGGAAATTTCCATTGTCTCAGGTACTGTATACAATAATCAAGCTCAAGATAGAGTTTCGTAGGGTTCGAATACTTTCCGTGAAAAGTAATGTTTGATTTTATGTGTTTACGAAATATCTTTTATACTTCTCAAGATACCTCTCATAGTATCACATTTTTTTTTCTATATATTTTTCAGTTACTTGCGATCATATAGTCAGATTCGAACCTACTTATTTATAAAATAATATAAAAACAGCATTATTATTTGTTATTATAGATTTTAGAAGAATATTATGCATTATTAGAAGAACCATGTAATATTAATTTTGGAGAAGCAGCGCTTGTTCTGCAAAATTCAACAAATGTATATGTGCGCAGAATTGAACGTCTATTTAGCGAGACAGAAATTTTGAGACAAACATTTTTTGGATATGAGTAACTATTAATTTTGAATATAATATCAAATGAATATATACTATAGTTAATAGTTCATCTATATATTTATTAGAGAAGAAGAAGAAGAAAAAAAGTCTAAGGAGAAAAAGAGTAGCAAGAAAGCTTATGTTAATTTTGATAACTTTGTAATCATTGACTTAGAAAAAGATATTGGAAAAAATATTGATAAGAAAAATCAGCTTCAAGGACAGAAAAAGATAAAGTTATTAAGCCATCGATTTACTCAGTTAGAAAACAACACAACACAATTTAGTATTCCCATTCACGTTTACGATGTTTTAGGAGAAGTTATTGGAAAGAAATATGATTTTCGGTGAGTAGTTGTTGATTTTTTCTTAATTCTCGTATTAGATCATGCTTTTAATTTTAAGGTGTAATCAAGCTGTAAGTACAACTGGAATGTTAGTGGATGAATTGACATCGCATGACTTTGCTCGTATAATTAGTTCTCATGTTCAAAAAGGCAGAAATTCGTTATCATCATATTCTGAACCAAAAACTCCTGGCACTGGAACTTCAGGATATCATTCAGCTGCCTCACCAAATCATTCCATTGCATCTATTCGCGAAGACTGTGAAGATGAAGATAATTTTATTCCACCAACAGAAAGTATTCTTTCACCAAACGAATCAGAAATTATAGAAAAAGAAGATATGTTAAATAACAATAATGAAATATCATGTGTCAAGAATAATAGCTTTAATACAGTTATTTTAAATAAGGATTTGTGCAAAGAGCAGCATAAGCAATTAAAAGAAGGAAAGGATATTAATAATGAACATTGTACAATTATGAATTCTAATGACTCAGAGCAAATTGAGATTAATGATAAAATGGATCATTGTGAACAACCAGATCAGGTTCTTGAAGAAGATTCACAAGTTGTTCAGCTCAAAGAATCAAATAGCGCACACACGAAAGAGAAATTACTTAATAAACGGAAAAAAGGGTACGAAATTTTAAAAGATATTAATATTATTAAATTCATGATATCTAATGCATATAACGATATTTTTATTAGGAGTCAAACAACGAAAATGTCCATTTCTTCTGTAGATGATGTAAATGAACTTGAATGGAAACCAATGCCACTTGTTCAAGGAATTAAACACGTTTTTTCTGACAATACAACTATTTTGAAAATACCAGAACATATTTCTCTTCTGAAAACGAATGTTGACTCGGTATGTGTAAAGTAACTGTGATGTATCGATATTTTATGGTTTAAATATTTAGCAGGTCATTATTAATAATACCTAGTTTGACTTAGGTCATTATTTGTAGTTATTGGTTCGATGTTGATTTTGAACGTCGTCCGTATTAATTACTTCATACATAACATGAATATTGTATTACGTGCGTTTTATGTTGCATTCTATTTTAGAAAAAACGTAAACTAGCATCTAAAATACATAAATCCGAGTGTTTAACAAAACTTATCTTACGAGAAACGGAACTATCCTCAAGGAAGAATAACGTATCAAGAACAAAATCAAAATTTAAACGTTTACAAAAACGTAAGACAGATAAAAATTATATTTTAAATATTTTATATATTAAAATAATATTCTAATGTTTTAAAATATATTTTTTTTTCTTATCAGAGGAGTTGGAGGATTTTATGAAAAATTTTGATCAGTGCTTCAATGGAACAGAAAAAGAGAATGATAGTGGTCGACAAACATCTATGACAAATATTTCCATTAATTTATTGGACTTTTGCAGTTCTAAAAGTCAGAACGATGATACAGAACGTAACGACGAAGAAATAATGAGCAGAAGTTCTACACCTATCAATTTTAGATCACAATCAACAATTGGTCAAGAGTCACCTGATATGATTGAAGAACCCCCTAATTTAATGAACAGTTGGGGTGAATCTGAAATAAATACATCCTATTCTTTGCCAGATTATCAGACGTTAATTGAGGGCAAAATGAAGGAGATTTTTGAAGAAACAGATGTTGTAACAGAATTAGATCAAACTGTGGCAAAATGGCACGCTTCTCTGCAAGCAAAATTATCAGAGGCTGAAGTCAGGCCTGCATTTCGAATTCATGAGTATGCTTCTCACATAATAAATACATTGCAAACACTCGATACCAAAAAAATGAATTTTGATAATGTCGTTCGAAATAAACCACCTTGTGAAGTAGCTAGATACTTCTTGGCTTCGTTACAACTGGTATTCTCATTTTTATTATGATACTTTTATAGTTTCTAATTCAGTACAAATTTCAATAATGGTTTTGTTTTTATAGGCCAATACTTATAACATAGAATTAAAAACAGAAAATAATGGTAAAAGTATTGAAATAGAATTACTTGATGAAAAGTCGAAGATATCACTTTAGTCTTAATATCATTACCGATGAACAAAGTTGTCTGATTTATAAATATGTGATATTTATGTTTAAAAGAATGTAATTATTGTTATTTTTTATGTTTCTTGTAAATACTGCATTTTAACTTTGTACTAAAATGCACCAAATTTTGAATAAAATATTTGTAGTTATTTCACTAGATTTGAATGAAATGTTAATTACGTTTTCCTTTGAAATTAAGAACTTTTACACTTTTATGGGACAAAAAGAATATTCTACAAACCCAATGAAACTGAAAGAATGCAAAAGAAAATGTAGCAATGAATTTTGTTTATTAGTTCCAACCTTCTACCGCTAGATGATTAATTTTGAGGTCAATGAATTTCAATTTTATAAATTTTCGAAAATAATGTATCAAGCTCTATTCTAATGACATTTACTGACTTTCTTGTGCCCATTCAACGATTTAGAAGCTGTACAAAACACTAATTAGTTCCTTTTGTCGTGGAACACAGTTATGCGCGCTCACTTTCAATTTCCTAAATATATAAATACTTATCGATAATTCAGAAACGATTGTCGACAGTTACTGACGTATCGACTTTGTTTTAAAAATAAAACCGTAAGTAATGGAAATTTGAGAACTACCATATCAGCTGGAACTGGTTACCCATTAAAACGTCATCAGTGATTAACATTAAAAGTCAAAATATTGACAAATATTTGTTATTTGAAATAATGAAAACGATACATTTTTAAAAGCCAAAAGTTTTATTATGAAAAATGTTTATCTATACAAATATGATACCACTTTGAAAAATTAAGTATAATAATTTAAAAATAATTGCAACTAAAGTGCGAGACAGAAGAAAGAAATATAAATTTCAACTGTACTTACTCTCGAAATTTGTTATACGTCTGCAAACGTTCCAGTGTATTTTTTAAAGGAATCCCAAGTGCTTTAGCATAATTTTTCAATCGATCTATCTTGGCACGATCTTGAAACGATCTATCTATCTCTAGCATGGTTATGTTCTGGTAGACATTTGCAAAAGTTATTAAAGTCTGTTTATAGCATGTTTGTGCGAATAAATTTGAATATATTGAGGAAGAAGGTATACTACTTGAAATGCGAATAGATGGAGTTGAATAATCATTGAGACTATCCTTTTGGAATGTCCCTTCTTTACCAACCTGGCAGATAAACTGCCTAATTTTGAATGTACAATAACGGCCCGACCGTCGGTTGATCACTATGGCGCGTTGATTGTAAAATGTGACTGTAAGATGCGTGCAGTAGAGCGAGTCAGCGACTGGGGAGTCGCATGCTTGAAGATTCCACCATGCTGTAAATCGAATAGTCCGAAACGACGAGGCAACTGGTTCTACCCACCATTTTGAAATGAGCCTTATTTAAAATATACTATTATTTCGTTTATTCTTTCCAAATTCTCTCTTTTAAAAATGACATCCTTTATTAAAATTTTATTGCAAATAAATTATTAAGGTACTGTTTTGAATCAGTACATGTTTGATTTCGTCTTACAAACTCTATTTTGATTATAATTTCTGTTTTTCGTGTCGCATTTTAAAGTAATTATTACAATATAGATTTTTCTACAATTTACGATTTCAATCGCGTTCTTGGCTTTATTCGAAATAAAGTATTACGTCTTGATTATTTTTTTTTTTCAAATATATATTATTAATAATTTTTCAGACTTGTATTTCAAATAAATTAGTGCATAAATCACTACCATCCAACCCCTTATTTTAACCGCTTTCTCTATTGTTTGTAAAATTACTTTCAACAAACTATCACAGCACAGTCACGAGATAAGCGAAATAGATTTATGCAATATAAATTAATGACATCGGCATAGATGAAATTATATTGTACTGTTCATTTTCGCTTATATTGAGATGTTACCATAAACACATCTTGCTTATTTTCCATCTTCGAAAGAATTTATGTGCTCATTTATTGCTTCTTGCGATGTTTCTATGAAGCGTTTATTCATAATTCTATATGTATCCTCCATAAGTTTTGGAAGATCTTCTTTTGTTAAACCTTTCGTAGGAATGGCAGGTAGAATGTTAATATAACTTGTACCTGAAACATAATAGTGTTAAACTATTGTGTGACAAATATAAGTAAAAAATGTGCAATTCATACTTTTAAATAACATAGTTCTTCGAATATTTAATTATTATAACACCTAAAATTTATCACTTCGTTACAATAAAGCTATTAGATAATACACAGATTTTCTAACATAAAGCACAGAGTTTATCTATTACAAGTTTATTGCCATATTATTATCTTTGCCTTAAAAGAATGCACATTTTCAATACAGTTACAGATATGTAGTACTAAATTCTGTCAATACTAACCGGAATTAAATATTTTTCGCTTGGAATTCAGAAAATAATACTTCGACATAACAACAGGTTGTATTGGTAATTGCGTATCGATGGCTAAGTGAAACGCGCCCTTTTTGAAAGGAAATAGCTTAGAACTGCAGTGCCGAGAACCTTCCGGAAAGACTATAACATTTCTCTGAAAATATGGAAGAACTGATCAGTACATACTTATTCAAATTTCACAATACATAGAATAAAAATTACTTTTAAATTTTTCACACGTTTGACCATTGCATTAATCGTTTTTTGTGCTTCACTGCTGTTTTGTCTGTCGATGAAGATAGTTCCAGAAGCCCAAGCTGCCAAGCCAAAGGGTCCATAATAAAGAAGTTCTTTTTTCATGATGGCGATACACCTTTCCAGCAGGGGACACAGTTTAGCTACAGCTGAAATTAAAATTGAATTATTTATTTACATATAGTACATATAGTATGTTACAAATACTGTTTCGTGATAGTTTAATGCGGTTTCTAATTTTTATATTGCAGTAAATTTTTGTTTTGTTGCTACCAACTATCGAAAGACATTACAACAAATAAATGTCACGTTACAAATAAGTATCATAGTGTTTGGCTGTAAAGTCTGATATGCACAGTCCCTGGCCATCGAATTAAGCAAACACTTTTTGGGTTTAAAAACTCCTCGGTAATCTACCTTCAGATACAATAATAAAACATTATAAATTAGTTACACTTACCCGCCATATCTAGCATACTTTGATGATTTAGTAACACAATGCTGCCTGAATCTTTAACAATATTTTCCTTCCCGCGAATGTGATATGTCACCCCCACTAATTTCACGACTGCGCTTACAACCCTTGCTGCAAACCTATAGCGTTAAGTTTATAATGAACAATTCCAATTTTATAATTTATTAGCTTAGTTTTCTCTTTTTCGCTTACAATGGATTTCTCCAGTCTCCCATTCGTAGAAACATGAAAGGCCAAAGTAGACTATTTGGTATAACCACAGCTGCCGTTAATGAAGAACATTTGATGTAGTACCTCAACGTTTCACACGAAGCAACAATTGTCAAGAGGATAAGAAAAATCAGGAATCCTGAGCAGTAGACGACACTTCCCAATCTGAAATTATGTGACTTGTAATGAAAATGTAACTAGTTTATATTCTTCAAAGGTGTCAATATATTGAAAATATGTCGTAACTTTTTACGCTGAGATGTTTAATCTTTCGCACAGAGCGCTGTTTATACAAATTTTTTGCAGAAAAATTATATTGCGTAATTCAGAATATAAATATTAATTACTAACGCAGTTATGCTATATCGGATCTTATATTAGAGGCACTAATAATGTTTTCTACAGATAATGTAACATTTATTACACAAAATAAGAAATGTAAATTACAAAAATTTTAAACTATCGCATGAATCTTCATATGTGAATTAGTAAAGATTTGAAGAAATATTGCAATGTTTGAGAGACATTAGGAAGACAAATATCGACTGAGATGGAAGTATATTATATTTCATTGATTGTTAATGCGAATTTACTTACGCAAACGAGGAAGCAAGTTTTATCCAAATATAGAGGCGAAAAAATATTACGGTTTAAAACTAATTTTTCTTAATAAAATATATCACTGTCAAGATAGTCGAAACTAGAATAATCAGTCACAATCGCAGACCCCAACGCACGTATATTGAAATTTAACACTGTATTAACATCTCGTATCGTTAATACTCGCTTGTACGAAATTGGTCCATTAGAATCCGCGCATTAAGTAAAAAAATCAAATCAGTAAATATACAATATATTTCGTTAAATTTCGTGTATATTTTAACATAAATTAAATATGGAAATTTTGTGAAAACCAAATAATTTCTAGATTTACACGATTTGTACCATTTCTAAAATCGAGGTAACTGTACGAAACAACAACGTGGAATCGATGAATAGAATATTGATCAACTTACATATTGTACATAGTTGCGTAATTTAGTTTAAGATTAAAACAGGTAAAAATCGTTTAATGCAACAGTTCTTTTCACAAGACAGTAATTTTATGATGGAAATATACTTCTCAGTACAATGCACATCCAGCATAGAAATGACGTTATCGCGATTTAGGGATATATACTCTAGCCAAAAGCAAAAACGGTGTTTTCCGAAAAAAGTGTACTTATACATAAAAACATCGCAAACGCTTAATGATAAGTACAGATGTATATCTGCGAAGCTATTGATGTTCACATAAAACATATAATACATGATAAATGATATACATTTTTTATAACTTGACATCTCGTAAATGCAGAAGCATCATCAGTATAATTGCTATTAATGATTTCTCAATAGCAATCGTAGCGACATTAATTACGCTGTTCTGTCGTATTAGTAAATGCAGCCGTTTCGAAATTTAAACACGATATGAAAATGGTAGTTTAAATCCTAAAATAATTTAAGCTACTAATGTCGTTTGCATTCGAGACAGATTAAATTATCCTATTCTGAATGGTTCTGAATTTAATTACGAAATGAGTTAGGTTATATTAATTTGGGGCGGGACACCTATTCATTTGTGGAAAATGTAAAATGTTCTGTGAGTGTCAGGTGAAATCGTGCACGTCGCGTATTTTCTGATTTTCGGTTAAACATTGAACATACTCCAGAGAGTCAAGTTTGTAACCTATACTATAATATTTTATGTTCGTTATCTCTAGATACAGTGTAAAAATTAACTATCGCACTTTAGCTAAACAAAATTTGCTCCAAATAAAATTATTACAAATTACAAATTATATAAATATTATAGTAATAACATACCAACTTATCATAACTCGAAATATATTATTTCGCTATCAATGTATTTCGTCGATTAATTAATATCTTATTAAAGAATTTTAAGCGCTCCCCAATTCGAGAGCATTAAAATGATTAAAGCTAGAATGTAATGAGTTAAATTATTTACGAGTAATTAATAATAAGTCGAAGTAAATTTTTTGTAGATACAACAATGTATTATTGTTATTGCGAAATATGTAATAAAGCAGTAATAACTATTTTTATGTTCAGGGGAGAGATCGGAATTTGGAGGGAAAACGCACGACTCTGGGGTATAAAAGAGCGTGCGGCGGACGCTCTTCGCAAAACGATCTCCGACTTGCTACGAACAACAGCTGTTAGGAGGGCATTAGGAACGCTCGAAAGCTGGAAGATACTAAAGGTACTTTCGGATTCTTGAAGCATTAGTTTCTAGAATTCGAAAAATACATTGTTTTTAATTCATGGTAGTGACATGGATTATTCCTGGTTGGGTAAATAAACGAAATAATTATTGAGCACTGTTGATATTAATATTTAATGTGAATTATATTTTAATTTAATTAGCTTAATGTTATTAAACTCTGTTTATTTACGTTTGCAATAAAGAATATTATTGTGAAAGAATGCATGGTGCTTGAAATCTAAATCCAAACGTTAATTAATCATTGTGAATGTGCTTCCAGAAAGGCAGTTCTTTACCAGCCTAGTGGACGAACTGTCAAATCCTGATTGTAGAATATAAGCCCGTCCTTGGATCGATTTCTATGATGCGTTGATTGTAAAATGTGATTGTAGGATGCATCCAGTAGCGCAAGTCACCGACTGTGGAGTCGCATGCTTACGAATTCCACCATGCAGTAAGACGAATAATTTGAAACGATAGGACAACTGGTTCTACTCTCAATTTTGAAATGACTCTTCGTTTATTCTTTCTAAATTCTCTCTATTAAAAATGACATCCTTTATTACAATTATATTGCAAATAAATTATTGAGGATTTGTTTTGAACCAGTTCATGTTTGATCTCGTCTTACAAAATCTATTTCGATTATAATTTCTGCTTTTCGTGTCGCATTCTAAAGAAATTATTACAATATAGATTTTTCTTGAATTTATAATTTCAATAGCATTCTTGGTTTTTTTCGGAATGAAGTATTACTTCTTGATTATTTTTTCAAATATATATTATTATACATGTTTCGTGTTTTCACAGTTGTACTTCAAATAAATTAGTGCATACATCATTACCACTCAGCCCCCTATTTTAACCGCTTTCTCTATTGTTTGTAAAATTACTTTGAACAAACTATCACAGCAGAGTCACAATATAAGCGAAATTAATTTACGCAATATAAATTAATAATATCCATATAAGTGAAATTATATTGTACAATTCATTCTCGCTTATATTGAGATGTTACTGTAAACACATCTTGCTTATTTTCCATCTTCGAAAGAATTTATGTGCTCATTTATTGCTTCTTGCGATGTTTCTGTGAAGCGTTTATTCATAATTCTATATGTATCCTCCATAAGTTTTGGAAGATCTTCTTTTGTTAAACCTTTCGTAGGAATGGCAGGTAGAATGTTAATATAACTTGTACCTGAAACATAATAGTGTTAAACTATTGTGTGACAAATATAAGTAAAAAATGTGCAATTCATACTTTTAAATAACATAGTTCTTCGAATATTTAATTATTATAACACCTAAAATTTATCACTTCGTTACAATAAAGCTATTAGATAATACACAGATTTTCTAACATAAAGCACAGAGTTTATCTATTACAAGTTTATTGCCATATTATTATCTTTGCCTTAAAAGAATGCACATTTTCAATACAGTTACAGATATGTAGTACTAAATTCTGTCAATACTAACCGGAATTAAATATTTTTCGCTTGGAATTCAGAAAATAATACTTTGAAACAATAACAGGTTGTATTGGTAATTGCGTATCAATGGCTAAGTGAAACGCGCCCTTTTTAAAAGGTAACAGCGTAAAATTACTATGTCGATGACCTTCCGGATATATTAATACATTTGCCTAAAAAAGATATGGGTATGATGGATACATATATACCAATATACATTTCCCAATGTACAAAATAGCTATTACCTTTACATCTTTTATATGTTTGACTATTGCATTCATTTTTGCTTGAGCTTTACTATTTTCTCTATCGACAAAGATAGTTCCAGAGAGCCAAGCTGCTAATCCAAACGTTCCATAATAAATAAGTTCTTTCTTCACGACAGCGGCACACCTCTCCAGCAAATGCCACAATTCTCCTACAACTAAAATTAAAATTGAATTATTTATTGACATGTATTACATTACGAGTATTATTCCGTGGTAGTTGAATGCGATTTCTAGTTCTTTAATACAAAAGATTTTTGTTATATTGTCATGGTGAGTTGAAAGAACTTCAAGGGAGAGAGGAGATCTACTGAAAATCAGTATCACTGTTTCCAAACCTGGTATATCTAAGTATGAGAGAGCAAATACCAGAACATGAGTAGAAGTTTTTTTTTGTGCTTTTGCCAGAGGAAAGAAGCAAATGAGAATTCTTACCATAGCAGCTAAATACGTAGCTTTGACAAGCATAGTGCGATACATGTTCTAGGATATGCTTTCTGTTACTTGAGAGATTCGTTACGAACGAAACTTCAGACTGTAAAATGGCAAAGGCTTTTTTTAAATTTCGTGGTGAGCATCTTCCATGGAGTACAATATCAAAACGCTACGAAATAGTGGATATACTTACCCACCCAATCTAACATACTTTGATGGTTGATTAATACAATGCTGCCCGAATCTTTAACAATATTTTCTTTCCCACGAATCTCAAATCTCAGTCCTATTAATTTCACCGCTGTCTTGACAATCCATGTTAATAGCCTATAGCGTTAAGTTTATTATGAATTTACAATTCAGTTACAGAAAATTTTATCTGTTAATTCAGTTATTCTCTTTTTTTCCTTACAGTGCATTTCTCCAGTCTCCGATTCGTAGTAACATGAAAGGCCAATGCATACTTGCTGGTATAGCAGTAGCTATTATGATAAAAGCAAATTTAACGTAGTATCTCAGTGGTTCACAAGAAGCAGCAATCGCCAGTAGGATAACAATAATCAGAAATACCGTCGAAAAATAGACAGCATTTGCTAATCTGAAAGTACATGATGATTTAATAAAATTAGAATGATTAAGCTTATTTCTAATGACCTTGCTTTTTGCATGAAAAGTTAATAGTTTCAGTTAATTCACACTCAAAGTGATAATATTCCCAATGTATTTCCATTAGTCTTAATAAGGATCGAATACCAATTGGTTGTTTCAATTAGTTCAGTATAGTGCAGTATAAAAACGGATTATGTAATTAAAATTAAATTAATAGAATCTTAAGGTATTTTGCAAGTAATCATGTTAAATTATGTTTCTAAATGTCAATATTAACGAGTACATCAGATTAAATTTTATTATATAAATTATAATCAGTGTAAATAAACATATAGAAGGTTAAAATATTTTTTGTAGTAAAAATCTTTTGAACACTTAATAGATAAAATATTTCAATGTTCATTAATTTGTTTTAATGTTGCGATGACGAATGATTAATTTCGTCTGATGCATGACGCAGATAAATCGTACGCAATGTTAAAATTGCAATTTGGGAACTACTTCGAACTTACTCGCTGAAAGCGCATAATATTCCATAGTTATTTGAACGATAACAGAATTATGATCATTTCCATCTTAGACCTAATCGATCTCTTAAAAACAATTTAAATATTAATATTCACTCTTTGTATAAGAATTTGAGTACAGTTAATACTGAATGAATAGCACAGTTATATAAGGATTTAAATTTGTCAACAATAGTGCAACTTGAAAGTTTATAAATACAATATGTTGTACTTTACAATGGAGTGTCAAATAAACAGCGAGGGAACAGTAAATCAAAGGTGAGCTATACAGACAAACGTGCAGTTAGTAAAGAGTAATGAAACAACACTGAGAAATGGGTTATTGTATCTTTCCGCAATTAGTTTCTAAAATAAACAGTATTTAATGCAGCATGACCTTGCCTATTTAAGCTATATTTCATCGCGCCATTTTTAAAAACGTGCAAAATATATGAAACAATAGTTGAGAATCGAAGAACAAAATATCGATCAACTTACATAGTATACATAGTTTCGTATTTTGGCCTAAGATATTAAAACAGGTAAGAAACAGCAGTTAAATGGTTCAACACAACCGTTCGTTTCACAAGACCATGACTGTATGATAGCAACATGCTTCCAAGTATACTACACGATTAGTACCATTTGTATGGAAATATCGTTATCGCGTTTAAGAAAACATGTTTAAGAGGAAAACAAATCAGCTTTTTCGGAAAGAAAACGTAATCATGGATAATTACATCGTAAGCGTTCAATGATACGTACATAAAGTAGTGTAGCTTATTTAAAACATACAGACAAACATATGCAACGCGGCTGTTGCTTCCGTTCGTTGAGATAGAACGACGTTAAATATTACTAATTTTAAGTATTATTATTTTCCCAAATCCCTACATCTCCAAGTCCTTACAATCCCAAATTTCTACATCCACAAATTCCTACATTCCCGGAATCTCTACATTCCTGAATTTCTCCAAGCCCTTATGTCCCCAAATCTCTACACCTGCAGATTCCCACATCCTCAAATTTCTACATCATAAATTCCTATATCCCCAAATCCCTACATGGCCAAATTCTTACATTTCAAATCCCTACATTCCCAAATTCTCACATTTGAAGATCTCTACATCCCCAAATTCCTACATCCTCAAATCTCTGCATCCCCAAATCTCTGCATCGCCAAATCCCTACATCCCCAAATCTCTACATCCCCAAATCCCTACATCCCCAAATCCCTACATCCCCAAATTCCTACATACCGAAATCTCTGCATTCCCAAATTCCTACATATCCAAATCTCTGCATCCTTAAATCCCTACGTCTCCAATTCCCTACATCCCCAAATTCTCACATGTGAAGATCTCTATATCCCCAAATTCCTACATCTCCAAATCCCTACATTCCCAAATCTCTACATCCCCAAATTCCAACATCCCCAAACCTCTACATTCCCAAATTTCTACATTCCCGAATCCCTAAATCTCTAAATCCCGGTATACTGCGATAAAAGCAGTCAAATCTTAATCTCTCCACGTGTCCCCAAGAAACTTAATAATGTTGATCATTTTAACGACAATATCCTAGGTCTTAGTATTCGAAGTACACTCCACAATCGATTAAAATGACAACGAACTTTACAACTCCCACAATATTTACTATATGCGAGCTTCTTTTAAGGTAGTCTAACCTTGGAGTTACAGGCCGTCAGGACCAACATTTCTGTTCGCGACAGAGAGATATCAAGATCTAAACATGTTAGGTTACTTCGAATTGTCTCTGTTGCCTTTTCAATGATGCATCTGCCAGTTTCAAGAGTATTGGCCTTAGCATAGGAGTCTGTGTCATCGGCATATTGAACCACTTGGATTTGGTTTTGGAGATTTGCCAGGGTTCTCCTGATGTACTGGGTCTCTCTAAAGTTCAACCTCATTCTTTTATTTTTCAAACAGCATTAAACGTGGGAAAATGTTGAAGACGAAAGTTGTGGGATATCGAGGGACATAGAGTGGTGGCAATGACTTGAACTTGAATGATTGTTTGAAGGTCAGGTGAACGTCATCTTTAGTTTGTTAAATAGAATCTTTTATTTTAAAACAGAACTCTGAAAACACAAAATTTGATTAATAATATATATTTGGAAAAGAAAATAATCAAGGAGTAATACTTTGTTTCGAACAAAACCAAGAACGCGATTGAAATCGCGTAAATTGTAGAAAAATCTATATTGTAATAATTTCTTTAAAATGCAACACGAAAAGCAGAAATTATAATCAAAATAGATTTTTAAGACGAAATCAAACATGAACAGATTCAAAGCAATACCTCAATAATTTATTTGCAATAAAATTCTAATAAAAGATGTCATTTTTAATAGAGGGAATTTGGAAAGAATAAACGAAATAATAGTGTATTTTAAATAAGGCTCGTTTCAAAATGGTGGGTAGAACCAGTTACCTCGTCGTTTCGGACTATTCATCTTACAGCATGGTGGAATCCTCAAGCATGCGACTCACCAGTCGCTGACTCGTTCTACTGTACGCATCTTGCGGTCACATTTTACAATCAACGCACCATAGAGATGAACCGACAGTCGGGCCGTTATAGTACATTCAAGATTAGGCAGATTATCTGCCAAGTTGGTAAAGTAGTTGTTGATTTTGTTAGGACCTCGATTGCTTTGATCATTGGCCTTGGTAAAGAAGTGACATTCTGAAAGGATAATTACAACGATTAATTATCTATTCTCATTTAAAGTAGCATGTATTCTTCTTAAATATATTCAAATTTATTCGCACAAACATGCAATAAACAGAGTTTATTGCAAATGAGCTTATGTTTGCAAAGAATCTGTGAGGATAGTTTTTGATGACTCAGAAGAAAGTTTTTTGCCATTTCTACATCATTCCCTATATTATTAACGAGATATAGCGTAGAGTGCGAATTGTTCTGGTCACATAATCTGCATCTTCAAGCCCACAAAATATACTGCAAGGAGTATAAAATCAATATTAAAAATATATAATAAATACATTGTATATAAATCAATAAAATCAATATTAACTTTTTTTTTCCCCCAAAAGTAGAACATGTGGCGCCATCTCTCCCGTGAACAGTGTGAACTACACACTTTTGAGACTGTAGTTTCATTAGTTTCTACGGCGTGACGATAGATGACGCCACGTGTATCGTTTTTCCCGCGTATTTAAATAAATAACTTCATTTTTACAATGTTATCTTCTGTTAAATATTTACAATGAGTTAATGAACTTGTTAACACACAAATTTTAAGCTTTAATATAAAAATTTTTACCGTTGCAATGTTATTCCCTATATTAACGATGATTCAGTATGAGTGTGCGAACTGCTTTGAACATTAATCCGCATCTTCGTACCCACGATGTATTACTGCTTCCATCAAAAACTACATCAAACCATTAATAAAATTACATGAATTATACATAGACAGAGAATGATATGAAAAAGGTAAAAAATTTTGTCAACTCTCTAAAATCCGTTCCCGCAAATGTTTCCTTTCTTACAATGAAGCTTACGTACAAAATTTGACGTGATTTAGAGCATGAAGGTATTTTGAAGAAAATCTCTATTTGCGAATGACTGCGAAACATAGAAATGCCTTGTTGAAAAAAAAAAGCGCAGTTTTCGTTTCGATAGTTATTTACTCGACCTGTAGATCGCGCCGATTGTACTGTTTTGAATCAGCGCGCGCAAAAATATAAATTTTTAAATTTCCCAAAGCTTTCAAAATACTTTCTATTTCCTAAATTAATTACTCTGCTTTAACTTACTTTCTTCTATATAATTTGGGTGCTAAATCCATAGAATACTTCCGGTATTAATATAGATATCAGTATAAAATTTAATTATGAGGAAATGTTGAATTACGTTCTAGCAGATTTCCTGGAATCACATTTCTGGAACGTCGTGCGCGCAATGAAACTGCAAAAATAAGTGCTTGCAAAACTTATCGATTTCGAAAATGCTTTTTGTAAATTGTCATATTATATAAGACGGAAATATTATTATGGATTCCTTGCTTTCCTTAGCTGCTATTTTTCTCGAGGAAGCTAAATTTGTACTTTGATGTCCGCCCATGTTGGGACACTCTGTATATTTAGTCCAGCAGAAATACTCTGCGCACGACGCAGGCGTAATCATTTATCAAGTAACACTGATTGCCGGTTTAAGTGACGGATTTTTAGACACATCAGTTTACAACGAGTAGATTAGGAGATGGATTTTATTTCTTTATTTTGTTCGTTTGCCACACAAGTTATACTGATTAATGAGTAATTTATTAACAAACTATTTTTACGTATTTATACAATATTTAATCAGTTATCCGAATTCTAAAAATGTGTTTATTTGTATATCGAAGTTATTAAAAATTTAAACGAAATGTTATTTATATATAAATGAATGAATTTCAATTTTTAATGTGTTAGCTTATTAATGTTGCATGTGTAAACGAATTAAAGTTACATGCTCCAGAAGTTTAATACATACTTCATCAAATTACTTAATGGTAACCAGTCAGTCAATTTGAATCTGTTTGCCTACCCTCTCTTTGTAATTTGTTTGATGTATTAGAGATATTGGTCTATTTAAGGACACAGTTCATCTTTGGTGAGTTGATCATTATATCATTTGATAAAAAGGAATAAATATATAATTTTCAGGTACTTCAAATAGACAGCAATTATGGAAAAGAAAAATATAAAATCAACACCATGGATACTGCAACCTTGGAGCCTTCTTCTTCTTATTATGATTCAATTCCTAATACAGTTTCTAATATCTATCTATCTTTATACTTATGTGGCTCGCGTGGAATCAGATGTATTTGTCATGCAAAATCAAGACTTTTTAGACGTTCAAAAATTAGAACGTAGGAAACGAAGCAGTGCATTGCCTGTGACAGAAGATAATAAAGTTTCAGATGCATCTAGAGTACGTGTTATTGACATATATTACACAAACAATAATATTTCACAACTTAATTTTATATTTTAGATATGGCAAGAAAAGGATACACTGAAAGAATCCAAAAAAGTAACTTCATCTCCTACGGTAAAGTCAGGTTTAACGTCTTCTCCAATCACACCTATGGGACATGATTGGGTGTGGCTGAATGCAGATACTCGTGTCCAGGTTGATTATTTAGTTATTTCTAAATATTTGTAACATTTGACAGCATTAACCATTTTAATATTGTATAGGTACTTTGTGTTTTAGGTTGATGCGATTGAAAATTTTTGTCGTTCTTCAATGAAATATTGTCCACCGGGTTTACCAGGAGCACCAGGAAGCCCAGGAGCTCCTGGAGAACCAGGACTTCCAGGACTGCAAGGAATGACTGGTCCAAAAGGACCACCTGGCTTAACTGGCCCTCCTGGACCTCGTGGGCCAAAAGGTGACATTGGACCATCTGGTTTTGATGGAAGAGATGGAGTACCAGGTGAACCTGGTCTTGATGGAATACCTGGACGTAGCGGTTTAGATGGATTACCTGGAATAAATGGTAAACCAGGGCTAAATGGATCTCCAGGTCGGCCTGGACGAAATGGCACAGACGGTATGCTTTTGAAATTTTGCAGCTTTTATTATTCTTTATTTTAAATGTTTGTATTGCTTGTAAAAATATACTGAAATATTATATTTTCAGGGAGGCCTGGTCAAATGGGACCACAAGGACCACCTGGACCGCGCGGTAACTTAACATTATTTCAAATTCCCTCATTCTAATTGCACATGGATGAAAAAAAGAGATACGTTGTTGATGTAAACAACTTTAGGAGAAGTGGGTCCTCCTGGTAGACCAGGCTTACCGGGACAAGATGGCAGACCAGGGATAACAGCCTGGAAGGTGAACATGAATGATCACAATATAAATGATCTATTAATTCCACCTTCCATTTTAGGTAAGAATTTTCAAGCGACAAATTTGTAAATTACATTTCTTTAAACAACACTTGTTTGTATGATATTATTCAGATGATCGAATGTTACCTGCAACGTTAAATTCTACTGGATTAATTTCTGTTTATGAGGGAATCAATTTAAGATTGAGATGCGCAGCAAGTGGAAAACCCCAGCCTGTTGTTCAATGGTTTAGAAGCGATGGAGCTGTCATTCCTATAGGATCTTGGCATGGTAATATAAAATATGATAATTATCATAATAATTATGGCAATTTGTAATCGTTTTATTAAATTAATATGCTCTTATTTTCTTTAATAACATTTCATAACAATTAAAAACCAGTAATTAACAAAGAAGTTAAAAAACATGTAACTTATCGACAGTGACTTCTGCAATTGGACCAACATTTAACATCAGTGTAGTAAACAGAGAACACATGGGAGAGTATACTTGTGTTGCTGATAATGGCGTTCCTCCTCAAGCATTTAAAAAGTTCAAACTTCAAGTTAAATGTAAGTATATCATTTTATATCTTTGTCTTTAGTTTGAAATAAATAAAAGGATATTTTTCTAGTTCCACCGTTTATTCGAATACGCAATCAAATGATCCGCGTACGTAGTCAAAGTACTGCAGTTTTGGAATGCGAAGTTGAAGCATACCCAGAACCAATTGTTTCTTGGGAGCGCGAAGATGGTCGTCGCCTTAAAATGTCGTCTGACAAATATAGACTGGAAGTATACGATAAAAAAGATTTATACAAAGTAATACATCGTAGTTTTATGTATGACAAACCTATTTGCATATATATGTATACATATAGATTAATCATTTTCAGTTTAAAATGCGCTTGAAGATCACGAAAATAACGTTGGCGGATCACGGTATCTACTACTGTGTTGTTAAAAATGATATTGATACTACCAAAGGATCATTTATAGTCGATGGTCAGACATTTGTTATATATTTTAAATCTCTGTTCTTCAAATGATAATTTAAGTCGACATTGAAATATTTCAGATGATATAAAAAATATGGAGAAATTAAAGATAGGAAAACAGCAGCACGTTACATATGGAAAGCCCGCACCGCAAAACATTGATTTAGAAGAACTTTGCGCACCGCATGAAACTTGTTCAGCTTGTCCTGTTTTGAGATGTACTTTTACAGATGTTGCCGAATATTTAAATATTCAGCCACTCAAAAATGTTAACTTCACTGGACTTCCGCCACGATTAGCGGGTATTTTAAAATTATGATGTCTTGTTCTGTATATATCTCATACAATATCTGTACACCTTGTCTGTATATTATTCTTTTATTACTTTACTAGCCTACGATATTTTATTATGCTATAATTTACAGTATATTTTTGACACTGTGAGGACTTAAATAATTATTACAGATGGTGTAATAGAAGTAGTAGGGAAACCTGTTTTAAAGGGTACAATGGATGATCATTATGGAAGCTGGATGCACGACATGGCTAGATCTGATGGATATCCAGATAAACTTTGGGTAACTCGAAAAAACGAAAGTTCCTTTATTTTCGAATATAAATCGAAAGAGCATTTTAAAAATACTAGCTCATATCCTATCGCATTACCTTATCCATTTCAGGTATAGCACCATGATTTTAAAGTTGCATATAAAAATCTCATACTAAACTTCATTTATTTACAGGGAAATGGTCATATAGTATATAATAGATCATTTTTTTATAATCCTATAAATCGATCTTCAGTTTTTCGTTTTAATCTTCATTCTCTTTCCGACCATATATGCGATAAAGAATTTGCGCGATGTGAGTTGCATCTTCCAGGATTATTGGTGAATACAAGAAATTATCTTTATACACCAAACCATAATTTCAATTACATTGATTTCAATGTTGATGAGAATGGTAACTTTATTTTGGATAATTTTAATAAATATTCACCACAAAATGAATAATGACATAACTTATTTTTAATAACAGGATTATGGGTAATATATGGTTTACCATCAAACAATACAGTAGTAGTTAAACTAGATGCAAATAATATGAATATACAACATGCATGGAATATTAGTATCGATAATCATAAATTTGGAGAAATGTTTATTGCTGGAGGAGTACTTTATGCTGTTCATAGTGTCACTGAAGAAACAATGAAAATAGGGTATAAATTAATCTTAATGAAGGAATGAAATTAATTAACAGGAACTTAATGTTATTATTTTTCCAGATTGGCATTCGATCTCTATAAGAACATTACAATACCTGTTCATTTATCATTTACAAATCCTTATCATAAGACTACTGCAGTCACTTATAATCACAAGACCAAAGTAAAGTTTATTTTTGGTGTAGATAAACAAAACAAAGTTATAATTTGGTGCTGCTTAATTAAATTTCTCTTTTCTTTATAGGAGCTTTACACTTGGAATAAAGGAAATCAGTTAGCATATCCTATTAAATATCAAGGTTTTACAAACGTTACCAAAGAAGAATACAAAGGTATAGAAAGTGGAATATGAAACACTGATTACATAATACAAAACACTGATAAGATGACATTAAAGTATTTATAGATTACACAATATATTTTATTCTTTATTTTTCCTTTAATATACTGCCAAAAAGAAGAAGACACAAATAAGAAACAATCATTTTTCATTGTATTTTAAACTCTTTTGCTATACTTGTTTTACACCCAGTTATGTCAACTTTTTACTATTCAAGTAAGTACAAATATATAAAGCATAATTCAATTATTTACAACACAGGAAATTTAAATGTATGTATATTACTGTTAATTCACTTAAATTATATTAATCGATGTATGACAATCGAATAGTTCGCAAAAAATTACTATTTTCGAAAATAAGTCACTGTACAAGTTTGGGAAACTATGACTGATATTATAAAACTAATTTTATTATTTATTCTTGTAATAATTAAGTCTAGTTTTAAATTTAATAATTTGTGTATTGAAAAATTCCTATATGTATAAATTTTTGAAGTCAATAATTTACATTCAACGGAGGATTCACGATTATGCGTACGTGAAAGTCCGTATGAAGAGGAATTCGCTCAGCGGGCCATATAGCGAGATTGCACTGTAGTTATAAAATATCATCGTAAAACTCATGTAAAATATATTTATACAATAATGTTAACCGTTTTAATAAACACCATAATATTGTAGTACTTCATGTTCCTCTTTTGTGTATAAAATTATTATTGATGCACAAATATAACGTTTCTTTACTGTGAACATATTTTTATATTTCGCAATCACAAAAATAACGATTTTCATTAATTACCTTGGTTCTGTTTATATGTATTTATAGTTTTGTATAAAGTTTCAAAGTATTTTAATTAAACTACTTGTTAAATAGAGTAGTAAGGTGGCGCACAATGGTGTATTCGATTAAATGAGGAATAAGAGAGATGGTCAAATGAGTAAGAGAGAGAAAAAATGCTTTGACAAGTCTTCTTGTTCAGTCCGATTCTTTGAGTTTCTCCGTGACGGAAAGAGGTATTCGTAATTTAGGAAAGTATATAAGTGATATGATTCGATATTGAAGTAATAAATAAGCAAAAGAAGATTCATGACTAAGAAACTGAAAAGTGTATTATCCAAAAAGATGGTGAGTACGAAAATTGATAACTTGACAGCTTGGCTGTCGAAAATATGGTGTTAATAACCTCACAAGGACAATTTTCGTAATTAAAAGTTATTTTGTCATTAATTTCAATGAGATTTTAGTAATTTGTGATAATCTAATTAAACGTCCGTTTATTTAAATTTCTTTTTCAGAAATTTTTCCATCAAATTAAGTGGATGTTGATAACCTTCAACTCATTACAGTTTTTTCGTTTAACCTCGTCCACTGCCTTTCTCCACTAATCTGAACAGTTTTATACACTGTAGAAATATGATGGATAATGAATGGGTTAAGAGGATGTCAAATGATCAATGTGTATTGTTAATATTTTAGTATCGATATTATTGAACTTATCAGAAAAATGCTGATATATTGTCAACTTTTTCAATATTTAAGTATAGAAAAAGTGGATCGATAACAATATAGCAAGCTTTTCAGTACTAGAAAACTTGTAGGATTTAATTAGTCTTCTACTGACTAAAAATCCGAAAGTTAATACAATCTCTTTTCGATTGACATAGCTTTTTGTATAATTATATCTCGTTTTATGTGTTGTAGTTGAGAGAATGATAGTTGATGTGTAAATTGTCTAGCATTTTATTTAGTGATATCTACTGATAGGAGTTGACAAATGCATATATGCCTTCTAATCAGCTCATTACCATATCAATTTTGATAATCCCAACTGTAGTTACATAAAAATAATTTTTCCAGTTTTTGATTGATGATGTTAAAATAATGACTGTACAAGATATCTCTTAATTAAAAATTATTAAATGCTGCTTCAGAACTGTATGGTAAATACAGTTTATTAGGAAATATTAATAGTATTGACAACACATATGATCATTTGTTTCTCTTTACATATTTATCTCTGTTCATTATTTGTTTGATTTTTACATTTTTCTACATTGAAAGCAAATATAATAATGATACATTAACAAATATTCTGCTCGAAAATTAAATATTTTATAATTTATTATTATTGAACACTTCAACATTTTGTATCATTTTAAAAAAAAATCCTAAAATATTTGTTCCTGCTCCATTTATAATAAACAATGTCTAATAGCACTGATTGTCATAAATTTGTACATTAACATATTGATGAAACAAAAATTAAATTGAATATCAATGTAATTATTACATAATCAAAATGTTATTTTGTATTTAAATTTGTTTAAGTGTATCAATATGTATCTGATATTACTAAGTACTTTTATAAACATTTTTAATATTTTTATCATTTTTAATGTTAATTTTTGTAAATGAAATATGCTTATATTTATGAAATAAAATATTAACAGTAAATATTAAAGATATACTTTGTAATAGTATATATAATATAATGATATGTTTGATGATACTTCAACTTCTAATATAGTACATTTATAAATTATTCATTAATATAAGCTGCCACTGTAGCTTGAATATAAGATAATCCCTTAGACGTCAGTGTTTTTAATATGCTTAAGGAACGCAGATAGAGGAAACTGTAATTTGATAGATAAACTTTTATTTAGTTTACACTGTATCATCATAAATATCAAAATAAATAATTTTAATAATAAAGTAAGTGCACTTAATTTCAGTTGGTCTTATTAATATTTTAAGTTATTGGATATTATTATATTACAAATAATAATGACATCATCCAAGACAATATTTTTATAAATAATCTTTCTTTATAATTACAGTTAATTATTAAAGAGTGTTTGATTTTTTCTTAGTGATTCAATTGATCGGTTATTTAATTTTTTGAATTATAATTATGTTTTCTTTTTCAGGTTACGATATCATGGAGAAATTTCCATTAAAAGGTACAATATTGTCAAATAATACAATTCCACAGAATCATCAACATAATTTAACTACATATCAGTCAGTCAACGCAAAGGTAAAATTAAAACTTGGTATAAAATATATTCAGTAATATTAGGAGAATTAGGGACAAGATAGGATTAGTATTTATTTTCTATAGGAATACTGCCACCTTCTTAAAAATTATGAAATGTATAAAAACGACTGAAAGTTACACAACATCAACAATTTAATTCGATTTGTAGCATTCTTATGCGTATAGTGATCATTTTTCTGTTTCTTGCAATTGCCATTTTATTTTCCTTCGTCTTCTCAGCTTCAGTAGGTAAGCTACAATTCTTAATATATTAATTTTTCAAACATTTTTTGTAGAAATAGAAGCTTATAGAAGCTTATACAGTTAATTACTTTAAATATCATATTTGAAACAAGATGAAGATATTTCTAGAGCACATACAAAGAATTTGCAATGATGATGCTGAATGTATTTTTTGGGCATTAAAGGCATTTAACATGCCTTTACACTGTCTTTGTGTGCTAGAAATATTTTTTCTATTTTCTGTGTTAAATGTTAGAAACTTATTTTAGCATTCTATGGTAGATAGTTATTAGTATTACATTTTGTATTGACGATAAACATTTCATCAACAAGTATATTGTTTTAATGCATTTTGTTAACACTTCTGATTTGTCCCTAGTTTCTCTAGATGAAAAGTACGTACATGAATTATGAATATAAATTCGAATTAATTACAGGGAGAAAATTCAGATGATGTATACTTTGTAGAGGATGTACGATCACGAAAACGAATTATTGGTCGTGATAATAACTTGAGTAGTGACGACGACATGCTGGAGGTTAATAATATAGGTACACATCAAGGAGAGAATACTGTTCTTTCCGAACATTGTATTCGTATTGACGATGCTTCCTCTCATAGTGAGTGATAAACAGTATATCTTTTTGACTACAGTTCATAAAAGTAAAAAACACAATGTGGACCTGGTTGCTTCATTATTTCAGTTTCAGTTGATTCCGATGATATACCTGGTATTGGACAGTACGATGATTTTCACACAATCGACTGGCAGCGGGATATTGCCCGGGATAGAATGCGTCATCGATATATCGTGAAGAAGAAACATGATTCTATTTGGGGTTTGATTAAGGGGGCCCATGATGCATGGTCTGGATGGTTGTGTGTTTTATTAGTTGGTCTCTGTACAGGAGTGGCAGCAGGTATCATAGATATAGGGGCTTCCTGGATGACTGATTTAAAGTTTGGCATATGTCCACAAGCATTTTGGTTAGATAAAGAACAATGTTGTTGGAGTTATAACGAAACAACTTTTGATGGTGGTAATTGTCCTCAGGTATATCAATTTATTTATTTTTATGTAATAATGAGTCATTCAACAGTTGTATCTTAAATATCTTTGTTTTTAAAAATATGTTAAATGTTACAGAAGCAAAAAAAGAATGATAACTTTTATAGTATTCTGTGAGCTTTACTAATCTATTACAATTCAGTGTATCCCTAAGAATAACGAAGATGTTTCAAATACAAATTTTAGGTGACGCACATTGTATGTATTTGTTTATTTTACAGTGCTTGAAATTTTAATTATCTTTTCTAGTGGTGGACATGGCCAGAAGTATTTAACCAGTCTAAGGATGGCGCAGGACCTTATATGATTTCTTACATGTTTTACATAGCTTGGGCTCTTTTATTCGCCTCCCTTTCAGCTTCGTTAGTAAGAATGTTTGCCCCATATGCATGTGGCTCTGGTATTCCTGAGGTATGTATATTTAATTGAAAAGAAAAATACATGGCAGAGCTTCACAAACATTCATAGACTGAGACCCACTTTCAGAAATAGTAATTTATCATTACTAAGATTCTAGTAATACATTATCCAGAAGGTTATATGAAAAATATCACTTTATTGCTTTAAAAAGACTTTGGAAATCTCATATATAGATAATGGAATTATTTTGAAATGAGAATTTTGTTTCAGATAAAGACTATTCTAAGTGGATTCATTATTCGTGGATATTTGGGAAAGTGGACGCTAATAATTAAATCAGTAGGTTTAATTCTATCAGTCTCGGCAGGATTAAATTTGGGCAAGGAAGGACCAATGGTTCATATAGCTTGCTGCATAGGAAATATATTTTCGTATCTTTTCCCAAAATACGGTAGAAACGAGGCAAAGAAAAGAGAGATTTTGTCAGCAGCGGCTGCCGCAGGAGTTTCAGTTGCTTTTGGCGCTCCTATTGGAGGTGTTCTTTTTAGTTTGGAAGAGGTACAGAAAAAAAAGGAAAATCACAGGGATATTAGAATATACGATAATTAAAAAGTCTGATAATAATTTGACAGGTGAGCTACTATTTTCCTTTGAAAACATTGTGGCGATCGTTCTTTTGCGCCTTGATAGCCGCATTTATTCTACGATCAATAAATCCATTTGGCAACGAACATTCGGTGCTCTTTTACGTCGAATACAATAAACCTTGGATATTTTTTGAATTAATACCCTTCGTTATGCTTGGAATTATTGGTGTAAGTATGTCTTTTCATAAATATTTTCTTACAACTAAAGAGTGTTTGAATTATCATTTCTGTTTTTCTAACAGGGAGTGATAGCTACCTTATTTATAAAAGCAAATCTGTTTTGGTGTCGATATCGTAAAACTTCAAAATTGGGTCAGTATCCAGTTACCGAAGTTTTAATAGTGACAGTTGCAACTGCCGTTATTGGTTACCCAAATCCGTATACGCGAATGAGTACAAGTCAACTAATTTATTTATTATTTAGTCAATGCGGAGTATCAAACGCCGACATTTTATGGTTTGTAAAGACATTGTATAACTTTTAAAGCCTAAAACATGTTCAGAACTTGTGTATTTCTATTTCTTTGTGCAGTGATTATAATAGAAATTTTACTGCTGCGCAATCGGCAATTGAGATAGCAGCAGCTGGTCCTGGAGTCTACAAGGCGATATGGCTTCTCGTATTGGCGCTGATTCTGAAACTCGTCATGACAATATTCACATTTGGTATGAAAGTACCTTGCGGATTATTTATCCCGTCGCTTTGTTTGGGAGCGATAATGGGTCGTATCGTCGGCATTGGAATGGAACAACTTGCGTATAATTATCCACATATTTGGATGTTCAGCGAAGAATGTTCAACCGGTGTCGATTGTATAACTCCTGGATTATATGCAATGGTTGGTGCTGCGGCTGTTCTTGGTGGTGTTACTAGAATGACTGTTTCTCTCGTCGTGATAATGTTTGAGTTAACCGGAGGTGTACGATACATTGTGCCTTTAATGGCAGCCGCTATGGCAAGTAAATGGGTGGGCGATGCTCTTGGAAAGCAAGGTATTTACGATGCTCACATTGGTTTGAACGGGTATCCGTTTCTTGACAGCAAAGACGAGTTTCAGCATACGACTCTTGCGGCCGACGTCATGCAACCCAAGTATGTAATTCTAGTATTCTAGGATTTTGGAAAAAATAGGGATTGCCTGACAACCCTGCAGCCGATAACCTTGTCCACTATCAGCGCTAATCCAGCAATATTCCTATTCCAGTTCCTTTTATCTTTGGGTTTGGAACATTGAATCTTACATTATTATAGTATAGTTTTGCTATGTGACTCTGTTTTATATTTTATATTCATATGGTCATTTATGTGTCATTGTATATTATGTTTATGTACATTGTACAATTTTTAGGGTATCAGACATTCATATTTTATAACCCCAAAATTCTAACTTGCTAAATTCCCAAATTTTCAAGATAGCGTATCTCTTAAAAAATTCCTTAATTTTAAAAATCTTGCATTTCCAAATTCTACTTTATTTTATAAGTATTCTGAGTATGTTATATGTTTACATGGTTCATTTCACAATGTTTATTATTTTTACAGTCCTGTCCAGAGCCACATAATGAGACTACACTAACTTTATATTGAAAAAATGATTTAATTTATTACGTTATATTCTGTTGTGTTTATCTTTGTGAAATTATTAAATGTAACTATTTCCAGACGTAACGAGGCACTTCACGTGCTTACTCAAGACTCAATGACGGTCGAAGATGTCGAAAATTTGTTGAAGGAAACAGAGCATAATGGTTTCCCCGTGATAGTCTCCAAGGAATCACAGTATCTTGTTGGTTTTGTTTTACGAAGAGATCTAAATCTTGCAATCGCAAATGCCAAACGTATGACGGACGAGATAACTGGACAATCATTAGTTATATTCACGAACGGAAATAATATTCAAAGTCATTCTCCCCCGCCACTTAAGTTGAAGAAAATTCTTGACATGGCACCGATAACAATAACGGATCAAACGCCTATGGAAACCGTTGTTGATATGTTTAGAAAGCTAGGTTTAAGACAGACACTTGTTACACATAACGGGTAATTATTTTCTATGTTATTATTAACAACATTGTTCTTATATATAAAATGTATTTTACGATTATATTAACATTGGTTAGGTTACTCATATTTTATTTGTTTTATGTAGCCGGCTGCTAGGAGTTATCACGAAGAAGGACGTATTAAGACACGTGAAACAACTTGACAACGAAGATCCTAATTCTGTATTGTTTAATTGAAATGTATATAAAGAGAGTATATATGAGAAATAAGATATTTTATAATATGCAGTATCAATCGATGAATTAGTTATAATATGTTAATAATATGGTTTTTGATATGTTCATTTAAACTATCAAAAATTTATTTTAAATAACGAATAGAATGATGAAATAAATGAATGAAGCATTTTTAACTTCAGTATATTACATGAATTTCTGTATATTTCATTGCTTCAAATTGATATTATATATTATATGTTCAAGAGAAATATTTTATATAAAACAAAATGTCACTCGAATAATTTTCAGTTTTCTATAATTTCAAACACATTCAACTATCACTGCTATTCAATGTGACTTTTGTAAAATACCGGATCTTACTAAATTAGTATACAAGATACCACGTAATATATACTTTACTGTATAGATGAAGAACGAACCAAAATTCTTATACACACGTATAAGACTACACATGCATATGTATAAAACGTATTACATAAACATCACGTAGTACATTATGTTAGATATGGCTGAAATTGCTTTGCAACAACGCCGATGATTGAAAGTTTTTAAAATTTTTAAACTGTTTCGTCTCTGAACAATTGAGATTATGTTAATTTTATTTTTTTTTTAACGATAGTATGTATTTAAATATTCAGTACACTATATCTGCAACTGTAAGCATGTTAAACGTTATTGTAATTTATACATTTCCGATCAAAAATAACAATTATTTTCTTTAGAGTAAAGAGATAAGTGAGAAAATGATAGAAAAATTTATTACGGTCCCATTAACACATTTTTGTTGGTAAAGCTGATATATGAACTTATGAGTAATTAAGTATATACGTAGATTTTGTCTTTATAAGTAGGGTAAACTATACAATGATTGGCACCTTAAATTTCATTTTAAAGGGTCAGATTCATTTGGCGAATTTGTACATTAAACAAGCGTGAAAATTGATTCATAAAGATAGTAGAATAAAATAAGGTAGTTATTTAAATTAATGATATTTAATTATGGAAATATTCTAAAAACGATAGAAAATTATGGTAAAATATAATTATTGACACACTTGGTACTGATTAAAATTGTGTGTACCAATAACTGATACATATTAATTTTGTATTAATTTAATGGAGTATGAAATCTTATACAAATGTCTGAATTATGACCCATTGCACTTTTCTAGATTTTGGCAATTGACAAGCATGAATTTATAAGCATATGACATTAAAGAATAAATACATATGCGAAAAAAATGGTGTTCAACATGTAATTCTTATGAATCCTTATGCTAATGCAGTGCCAAAATTAGTACAGCTTACCCTATATGCCAAAAGTTTATATTTATGATAGATAATGTTGATTCCCAATATACATATGTATATACAGTATACAAAGAAATACATACATGTACGAAGCTTGCAAGCTTGAGATTACACACCTATTTCATAACGTGTATGAATGTTAAAATAAATGTTATGTATATTGAAATCTTATAAAAGAGCAATAATACTAAATGCTTATTTTATTTTCATCGCAATCTACATTGTTGAAACATTATAGAAAAAGTGATTCAATGCAGAGAAGACTGCGGCATGGAGCCTTTAATAAAGAACAAATTTTTAACGGTACATTTACTTTTGAAACTGGGGTAACAATATTTATTTATTTTATTTTATCTTTATTGGAAAAGAATTTAGTACTAAAGTATAGATTCAACATTTAATTGATATTTATTTATGGTCAAATATAAATTTTGCATTGAACTTTTTTTATAACAAACAATTTTAATTATTTATACTAAGGTTTTATTAATTGAGGGTGCAAAATATTAGAATATAAAGAATTACTGTGAAATACTTTTAGATATATATACAATTTTAACATGGAAATATTTTATTTAAAATTCTGCTTTGATAAAAACATTTTTTTTAGAACTATTGATAAATACTTTTATATTACTGAATTATTGATAAATATTTCTACATGTTTCTATGTTATTGAACTATTGATCAATATCTCTGATCAATATCTCTAATATGTTTCTATACATATTATTGAACTACAGATAAATATTTCTATAATGATATAGATGATTTATTAGGTCAGATCTGAAACAAAAAATTCAACACTTTTTAGTCAGAAGTATTATGATAAATAATTTTTCAAAAATAATAATAAACATCCGACATAAAATTAAAAAGAAAATTCATGATAAATACAAAACATGAAAAAAAAACAAAATAGAATATATTAATTGGAATAATTTTAAAATTATTGTTGCAATTCTGCTATTTGCAATAATAAAAAAATAATTATTTATTTTAAGGTTTATATTTATCTATAAACTATAAGTAGTTGATATATTATTTATTTCAATTACATTTAATTTAAATGGTACAAAGGTTACTAATAACCTATTATTAGGTCAATGTAATCTTAAAAATTAAATGAAACATGAAATAAAAATAATAAAAGATTTAAAGTTTGTTTTGTAACAGGATATACTCGTTAATGGAACTTAGTATCTCAACTATTATTTAAAATGATTTACCAATAATTTTGTAAAAACAAGTGAATTGTTTAACCGTTCTTTGCATTTCAAAATTTAAACATCTTCTAATTTAATCAAAATGGTAAGTACGCAAATAAACTTTGTGGGAGTCGAAATATCAGATGAAATACCTACCTAAATTCAAACAATTACATCCTTTCGGTAGCGCGTAAGTTAATATTTAAAGGGGTCGCTGCAGGCTCCATAATCCGGATTCAAAAATCTGTACAAACGTTTCGGAATGTTTGCAATCAGCGTGAATGGTCACTCCATCGGGCACACAAGTACGAATCGGCATAAAATAGGTTCCCGTCAAGTATTTCATCTGGCAAATGTAGCACTAGAGAATAAATCAATAAGTATTTGAAAGGCGGTTCACAGTTATAGCTATGTAGCCCGAGGAAGTAGAACGTTTTATTTGAAATTTGAAATCGATCAAAGCGAAAAGTTTAGATGAATACCGGACGCGTCGTACGAACAAGAAATAAAAGATTCATCCAGTTGGCAACCATTCTGCCAACTGTTGAAAAGATATTAAAAAAAAACGAGATGAAAGAGAAAGAGTCTTGAGAAGCAACAGAGGATTTGATGGTAATCATGCTCGAGCGAAATCAGTTCCGTGACACGGAATAAATTTGAACGATCGCGAATGGAAATTAGTGTGGTTAGCGAAGGACGTCGCGAATTTTCATTGCTGCAATCGTTTAGACATTTTTCAAGGGGAAAAAGGAAAAGGCGACGGAAAAGAATCGTGACGTTGACTGGTCGCAATATCACCTGCACTGTTTAGGGTGGGGAATAGTCAAGGGCAGTACCGCCATTAGTGTCGGGTATACGGGGCACTTTAAACTTTACGTAAAATAAATTAATTTGCATTGTTTTTTACCAAGGTTTACTTTAGGGTAGAAATACCAAGGTATTTTTTGAGGATAGAAATTAGTAATGAAAACTCATTTCTTAGGCGATAAAAATGTATTATTAATATTTCAGGGTTTTCAATATTTATTGATAATGTTAAAATGTGGATAATAGTTTGTTGATAGAAAATTAGCGCTTTTTATGATAAAAATTTGTGTTATGAGATATAATTAAATTTTGTACTGGGTCGTGGCTTTTTGAGATAAATTAAAAAATATTTCGAACAATTACGACGAAATTTGTTTCTCCCCACGTTTAATGGCTGATTTAACGTATTTAAATACCTTACGCTTATGGATACCTACAATCATAGTTTTGAAATTCTAAATTTCTAAATTATTAAATTTATAAATCTTAATTAAATAAATATTTGATTTTCTAAATTTTTTAATTCTGATTATTGAAAACTTGAATTTTATTAATATTGCATACAATTTATACCGATTTCAATGACCTTGAAATATATTGTTAGGGACTGCATTTTGAGCAGCAATCTTCTATACATATAACCGCTTTTCGGCCTTATATCTAAAAGTATTAACAAAAAATTCAATTAAATATTTATTTAACACGTCTTACTACTATATATACATTATAAAAATCAATTTATTTTTTTTTTTAAGAATATGCCTGGTGTAATACACCAAAGTGCACTATATTTCAATGTAACATTTTTTAATACATATCCACTACGCCATGTGTGATATGGTTAATCGAGAAATATATAATAGTAAAATGTACGCTGTGTTCTGTACACTTTTGTATATTGTAAATTTAAATGAAGATTTTTGCCTATATCTTGGAAACTATGGTCGAAAAGTGTTTATATACACAAACAAAGTTATTTAGAATATTGACCTTGACAACATATCTCAAGGTCATAAAGATTGATAAAGTGGCCTTTTGTAAATAATTACATTGAAAATATTTTTGCGAATATCTCTGAAATTAAAGCCGGGTAGCGGTTATATGTACAAATGAAAGTTCTTCAGAATAACATCCTTGATGACATATTTCAAGGTCATTGAAATCGACGAGATGTGCTTTTCTCTATATAATTACCAATTTTTTGCAGTGAAATATATTATTATTGACTAAAATGATTTTAAAATATCGTTACTTAATATCTTTAATGATATTCTTAAAATATTAGTGAAAACAAAGTTTTATGTAAAAAAAAGCATTGTTCTATATTTTTGACTACTTACGTTTTTTCGTATAGAAATCACTATGTGTATTTGCATGTATTATGGAACACCTTTTATATACATATAGAGTATTTATCGTAATGGTATTCACAATTTCAAGCAATACACGGTAATTTATCACAAAAAAAGTATTTGAAAAGTTTCGAAAAAATTATTCAAAAACGATAAAAATAAATGTTATGATCGCATTTAAGAGGAATAGGGAATAATATAATGTGACATAATTGTGAAATACAATTTGAAAATTTTTGAATCGAAGGATTAAGAAGTTAGAATTTGTTCGATATGGGAATATAAGATTTCAGGAATATGGACATTTGGGAATTTTGAAATTTTGAAATTTAGGAATTCAAAAAGTTGAGAATTCGATAATTTGGGAACTTAGCACTTTGAGAATTTGCACGTTTGAGTTTTTGGAAACTTGAGAATTTACAAATTTGAGTTTCGGGAAATTTGAATTTTTGGAAATTTGAGAATTTGCAAATTTGAGTTTCGGGAAATTTGAGTTTTTGGAAATTTGAGAATTTGCACATATGGGTTTTTGGAAATTTGAGAATTTACAAATTTGAGTTTTTGGAAATTTGAGAATTTGCACATTTGAGTTTTTGGAAATTTGAGAATTTGCAAATTTGAGATTTTGGAAATTTGAGAATTTGAAAGTCTGAGTTTTTGAAAATTTGAGAACTTGCAAAATTGAGTTTTTGAAAATTTGAAAACTTGCAAAATTCAGTTTTTGGAAATTTTTAGAATTTGGAAATATCAGATTTTGAAATTATAAACATTTGATATTTTGGAAATTATAGAATTTAGAAAGTTGAAAATTTGGAAATTAGAGATTTTGGAAATTTGAAAAATTGAGAATTTGGAAATTTAAGGGTTTTCTAATTTGCACATCTGCAATTTGCAAATTTGGAAATTCGATCATTTAAAAAATAAAAAATTTGAGCTGACCTCATAATCATAAAAAGCAATCTGTTTACAATTTATCATCAACCTAAAATCCACACAAACAATTTCTCGCAAATTCTCCAAAACTTATTACAACGAAACCATCCGATTCGGTACAGTTCCTTCTCTACGATTACATACACCGCGAATGCAACGAGCTGTAACTCCCCAGTTACGAAAAGAAACCCGCTTATAATTAAACCTCAACCTGGACTCGTCCACATGAACAATTATATACATTCTTTTCTAAAAAGTACCAACGTACATAATAAACACCGTGTATGCACCAAACTATATTTTAATAATTAAATTTATTTTAATTTTACCGTATAGTAAATACATCAAAAACTTTTATAAATCATGTAAAATTACAATAAAAAATAATTTCCAAAACTAGCCTAAAAGTGTCTACAAAAAATAATTTATAAAATCTATTAAAAAAAATAATATGGGTTCGCGGTAGCAAATGGGTTAATCACAGGGCCCCGTAGCGCGTAACGCTGTCCCTGGCCGAGGGTGGCGAACAGTTCGTGCAGGCTGGTGGTTCGCTAGTTAGTTTCGCGGCAGCGATAACCCCCGATGCGCGTGTGCACGTACGTATAATAACGTGTTAGGATAGATTCGCTTATACAGAGAAAGAGAGACCTCAAAGACTGTTTTCCTCGGTCGTTCAATACGCGCGCGCGCGAAACGAATCGACTTCGTCCATAGTATCGTCCAAGTTCTCGTCGGGGACGTCCGTGACTTTACACCCTTGTTCGAGTTACGATTCGCTGAACGGTATATATGACAAGGGTGCATCACGGTTTCTTTTCTCGTATTCCTCCCGGTTCGCCTCGTTTCACTTCTTTCGTCCTCGTATTTACGTACGAGCCACGTTTCGACTCTGTTTTCGTCCCCGACACGTCTCATCCGAAAACAGGTGGTAACCATGGTTTAGTGAAGTGCGGAGTGTGATCAGCGAACCGATTGATTTTGTGTCATTTCGCGCGATGCGATTACCCGTGAAACGGTGCGATCTTCAAACGAAAGATAACCTAAGATCAAGGATAACCTCGGGAACAGTCCTGCGACCTTCTGGCTAATCTCACGGATTCGATTTCCATTTCGACTTTCGCCTGACGGTGAAACGCGTCACGGCACGATCGTCATCGACGAAAAAAGAAGAATCTATATACCGTGCCGCGACACACATTCGAGCTCGCGCTCAGTCAATAGCATCCTTTGAAATTTCAAAAGGAACGAGCTATCGACGAAGCGTTGCACCTTCGGGAGGAGGCTACCCGACAGTCCCGTACAGGGAACGAAGCGGAGAGCCCGGTAACCGCAACGATGAGAGCTAGAAATTCCGGCGAGCCGAGGAACCACAGATTCCAATGATACCTTCGCAAGCTGGCCGTGAGGGATATAAAGGTTCCAACCCTCCGAGCAACAGCTCCGAGGACAATGGCTTCGCTAATCGACCTCGAGTGGCGGGCCTTTACGCGACGAATCTCTTCAGAGAAGAGCCCGTTCGATTCCCGTCAGAGGCTCGATCCCGCGTACTCGAGAGATCGTCGCAGGAGATCGGCAGCCAGAGGAGCCTGAACCTTCCTGCGAAGGTGGCCGAGGAGTTCGAGCTGCTGGATCGCTCGAGGATCGGGATTTCGAGGACTCCGCAGCCCTCCAGGAAAGAGGAGGCTCGATATGAGTCCAGGTCCAGGTACGATGACTCCAGACGCTCCAGGGAGGACGCGTACTCCCGCACGCACGAGTTCCCGCGCGCGGATCAAACGTGGATGAAAAGCACCAAGGATTTCGCCTCGACCTCCGCCTCCATACTAGTTTCGCCCGCGAGCGAGACCAACGAGTGTCATGTTATATCGCCGCCGGACGAGCACAAGTCGCC